AACTGTTTCGTGGCCCTACCTTAAAAGATGTGCTTCTGTCTTTGAATTAATTTGTAAAGTTTCAGAGTCATTAAATCAAAGAAATTATTACGTTTTTTGTTATTATTGAACTAAAGTTATTTACTCTTGTACTATAATATGTAAAAGACTTAAGTAAGCGTAATTTGCGGTCGAGTATAACACGGCTTTAATTACTAGCGTTGTCTCGTATATTTCACTTCTTAATTACGTAATTGGCATTATTACTCTACGCCCGTGATATCGCGTTACGTATTATGAACTTTCTAAATTACTAAAATTTCCGGCAATATTTTCATGAAAATACGCTACTCTTTTCTTATTCTTTAAAGAAAGCATATCATGTTATAATACGGATTACGATAAATTACATTCAAATATAATGTACCTAAATAAATTGAAGGGATATTAGAGAGCTTATTGTTTTGTAACTCGAAATCAAATTAAATAAAAGCTATTGATAGCATACATAGTTTTTTTCCTCCTTTTTTAAAGTATAAACCATTTCTTTTTCGTAATTATTAAGTAAACGCTATAACCACAACCACAACAAAGGCAAAAAGGTTGTTGTGTATTTTTTTTAGGGAAAAAGTTGTCAAACGAGCAGACGGTTGACCTGATGTTAAGTGAATAACGCCGCCCATAGACATCTGCCACACCCGAGGGTTACAGATGCGTTGACAACCTTTCGAAAATTGGGCTCCGGCTACCTCACTCACCAGACGAAACGCGAAAGTATTTGTCATACTTCCACTTTACGTTCATCTTCTGTGAGGCCTTTCGTGCTATTCGGGCTATTCGGGCGTGCTACAGCCGAGGCTGCTGCGTGGCCCTACCACCGTTAAAAAAATAAAACTTAAAAGGTTAAAAGTTAAGCAACCCATGGTTGAATAAGAAATATATGTTCGAAAAAATAGGAATTGTGGAATGTCAAAAATACAATGAAAATTAATTATTTTACAGGTTCTATTTCTAATACAAAAATATATTTAATTATTAAACGTAATAAAGTCTTGCAGTAGCTTTATATTAATAGAAAATTTATAATTTTGTATTACTAAAATTATTAACTTCATAACCTATAATTAATTACATGAGGTACTGAAGTTAGCGCAGTACGAACAATTATGCCTGTTAGTAAGGTCATAAAAAACATATTTACTAAACAAAAGATGTTATTTATCAAATACGTAACTGTTTTCTTTGTACACTGTCGCCTTTGTAAATGTATGGCATTTCATACTCATTGACGGCTCTCATCAAACGGAAGCTTTTAGTTCCATTATTCGTTATCTTTTGTTACAATTTCAATATAAAATATTTACTTTGGACGGAGGAGTGAAATATACAATAGATTAATTAAAATCCGTCAGCAGCATATCATTGATTGAAAATTAATAAAAAATTGAAAGTAACCGGCAATTATTTGGCGTAGAACAATATTATTATATAGTCTTTCTTGTTTTTAATTTCCATCGGAAAACATTAAAATAGAAAAGAACATATATCTATTATGATTATGTATTTTATTATATTTTAAATACAAATTTCAAGTCATAATTATATGTTTTCAGTAAATAAGAAACCTAAACATTCACAAGTTCATTCAACGGTGGTTGGGCCACGCAACAGAGTTCGTTGCACGAATGGGCAGGTCCGTCCGGGTTAGTACCACGACCTCACAGAAGACCGGCGTAAAGTAGAAGTGTTGCACTTCTGCGTTTCGTCTGGTGAGTGAGGTAGCCGGGGCCCACATTGTAAAGAGGTGGCAACGCATCTGCAGTCCCATGGGCAGGCGGTTATCACTTAACATCAGGTGAACCGCCAGCTTGTTTGCCACTTTCTCACATTAAAAAAAAAGTTATAGATGTGAGGTGTGACGGAGCAAGGCAGAATGTTATTACATATTTTCGGTACACAAGAATTACTGGAACCACGGATCTTGATCCTCGATTCTTCAAAATTATGATGGGGATTTAATATTTCAATTAGTTGCGCTTTGATTATTTTAATTTTCTAATTTTAGAAATTTAGATTAGCTCACTTTACGTATTTATTATATTCTAATTGTTAAATGAAATATTCATTTTCATTTGTTTGTTTAACCTTAAATATGGCAAGGGTTAAAAAGGCAAGATTGAAACGGAAAGTATGTAAGTCACTCTCTCCTCTTGCTCGGTCCCTCAATGCTGAGGATCGTGACCACATGATGTTCTCCTCCACTGCGTGCGGTCGTAGACGGTGTGAACCGCGCGTTGCATGATGCCGCCCACCGCGTCCTTCACTACGTCAGCCCATCTTGTCGGTGCCCTGCCTTGAGCACGTCATGTAAGTCACTACATAGTATAAAACAAAGTCTTCCGTTGTCTGTCTGTCCCTATGTATGCTTTCCCTAGATCTTTATAACTACGCAACGGATCTTGATGCGGTTTTTACTAGATAGAGTGATTTAAAAGGAAGGTTTATATGTAGAATACATTGCACCCGTGCGAAGCCGGGGCGGGTCGCTAGTTCGAAGTAAAGAATGGATTTTCCCAAAAAATACCTAAATAATTAAAGTCGATAGCTACTAACTATAAATAGCAGCAATGTGGGACAAGAGAAACAATTACATTTATTTATTTACTTAGAAAGATGCATCAACAGCATAAAGCAGCAGTTACGTTAATACTGAAAAATCAACATTCAAGTGTTGTCATCAAGTTTACGGTGGTAGGGCCACGCAGCAGCCTTGGCTGTTGCACGAATGGGTAGGCCCGTCCGGGTAAGTACCACGACCTCACAGAAGACCAGCATAAAGTGGAAGTAGCCGGAGCCCAATTTTCAAAAGGTTGTCAACGCATCTGTAACCCACGGGTGTAGCAGATGTCCATGAGCGGCGGTATTCACTTACCATCAGGTAAACCGTCTGCTCGTTTGGCAACATTTCACATAAAAAAAAATCTTCAGAACATGTCATCAGAATCAAATCAGAACTGAAATCAGAATAACTAAATTTTAAACGTCGGTATTAATGATGCGTAAACTTTGATAAAGGTGATGAAGAAGACATTGATTAAAATTTTTACCCGATAAAAATGTCTTCTATAAGTCGTTTGCTGGACGTACTATAGAGGGAGTGATCTGTAATGAATTTAAAGGAATAATCTTTTCTTCTAAACATTTCACTGTTAGAGAATAAAAAGGAAAAGGTGAACCATAAGTTTGCGGTTCAACTGATGCCAATATTAAAGCTGCCTTGCCAACCTGCGAATACGTGGAATAGCTGAAGCTACGGCGTTGCTTTTCCACAATTATCTTAAAAAAGCTGTTGAACCTTTCTTTATATTTAATTTTTTGATTGATTGCCACAGATAGTCGAAGACTACAGAACATAAAAAACATAGCGGACTTTTCGCGTTGAACATTGACGTAAAACAACTGAATTCTGGCTGTAAAAGTTCATATAAACACAAATGGTAGCTTTAAAGCTGGATTGCTGTATCGAAATTGAAATATACGTGAATACAGTATATACATACATAGGTACCGTTGAATATCGTAGTTTCCACTAGAACACGGAACGTACATTCGCAACTTTGTTAAAATTGATTGGCAGCTTGGAACGCTTCCCGCAAATTTACTCTATTTGATTGTTAGCGTTTCAATTCTAGCACCCATTTTGTTTTTATCGTTGTGAACATCGTAATAACGTTTTTATTTCAGATCACAGTTCAAAACATTTTGCAATTTTGCAATTTTGTAAGTAATTTCAAACTGAGCTGAATTGATATTTAATTATTTGTATAATATATGCGAGAGAGCCGTTATAGCTCAGTGTCCGGGCGCTCGCCCGAATATTTCGAAGATATGTGAAGTCCTCTAATCCACAGTGTGGTCGCGTGGTGGTCTATTCTCTGATTACAATTGAACAAATTTAATTACGACGAGTAGTGAGTACTTTTGGATCTCATAATGTCCTTTTTCTTAATAAAATAAACAAAAACAATGAATGTTAATGACTTGTTAATACAAATTAACAACTAATTAATATTCATTGGTATTTTTAATTAAGTGTTATCGTACCCTAGCTCTGACTTGAAGAGCTGTTATGATCTCACGATTGAACTCATCGATCTTTTATAGGGTTCCGTACCCAAACGGTAAAACGGGACCCAATTACTGAAACTCCGCTGTCTGTCTGTCTGTCCGTTCGTCTGTCACCAGGCTGTATATCATGACCCGTGATAGTAAGACAGTCGGAATTTTCACAGATGTACTTCTGTTGCCGCTATAACACCAAATACTAAATATTATTATCAAACATATTTAAGTGGTGCTCCCGTACAGCAAACATGAAATTTTGTCTTTGATAATGGTACGGAATCCTTCGTGCGCGAGCCCGACTCGCACTTGGCCGGTTTTTAAAAACCTGTGAAATGTAAGGAATACAAGAAACAATGTTTAAATAACAAATACCATTTATTTAAATATTTTAAAATAACCTTACAATCAACTTATGACTCTTTGAATAGACCCTATGTGACAGACAAAAATACATTGTTTTTTTTTTAATTTTAAATTTCGTTTATAAGTTTAAATACAGGTAAATGTAACACACGTAAATTTTGTTATAACTTAAAAACAAGATTATCTGTCTTCGTTTGATACATCGTTTATAAACCTTATTTTATATTAATACCTATATCTGCATTAGCCAATTAAAGCCCTACAACAGTTATAATTACTAATAGCAATTAGAAATTTTTCATAATTGTTACACTACCAGTACAACAAGTAAAAATTCATTTATATGTACATTTTTCATGTGTTTATATATTTTATCACACTACAATAACAAATACAAAACTAGCGATATTTCAAATTAAATGTACGATCTGAATACTGATCTCGAAGTAGATTACACAAAGAAGTGGAAAAGCCGCCGCCTGTCTAATTCCCGTGGACCTAGTCGTCGAATGGTCCAGGCTCTCTTCAGGTCACGACGTTGTTATGACACCTGATGTAACATTACAAAATTTGATTTATCGTTGAAAATACTATAAACAAATATGCGACTGGTAAAATCTGGCTTGAGTTTTTTTCTCGCTCAAAAGTGAAATACAACATCAATCGGAGGAGAGCTATTGTTCATGGCATCGTGCCGCGTAAATATCTTTGAAAAAAAGAGAGTAAAGTAACAGCCAATACATGTCCCACTGCTGGGCAAAGGGCTCCTCTATACAAAGGGTATCAGGGCATAGTCCACCACGCGGCCCCACTGCGGATTGGCGGACTTCACATATTTTCGAAATATATATTTTTTTGTTATTATTTCGAAAATATGCAGGTTTCCTCACGATGTTTTCCTTCACCGCGGAGCACGTGATAAGTCAGCACTTAAAGTTAAAAACTTCATTGGTGCCGGCACCGGGGATCGAACTCAGGTTGCTCGAGTATATTGAATTAAAGGCGAGCGCCCGGACACTGAGTTATCACGGCTCTTAAAATGACGGCTCTTAATAAAATGATTAAATAAAATAATGTATATAAAAAATAATAAATCACTTTTATTACATCCCGTATTGTAATCAAATCAAATCAAATCAAATTGTTTATTCATCGAAATAAGAAATGTACATTTCATCTATCGACAGTCATTTTTTAAATGTAAAACCGTTTCGTAATGAGATTCCTCTAACGGTGAAGAAACAGGCGAAAGAATATCCGTAGGTATCCTCTTTTTTGTAATTTTTTTCTCAAACAATTACATTGTTATACACTACATATTTTTTTTAGAAACAGCTTAGGAGCGATCATCTCATCTTTCGAGTAATAAACAAAGCTATGGGTAAAAAACGTTAAAAGTCTTGCATTAATTTATGTCATGTGCTAAACTACCTAATGTAAAGAAATAAGTGTCTTTCAAGTTGTTCTTGTATCTTGTATCTTGTATTAACTGATGTTTTTGCTTTCAGTCCCGAGACTATTAAAGCTTCATCGGACGCAGAACCGGTGGGCTAGCCAGAACCCACGGGTTTGGACCCTCCGCTATGGGTAGGGTCGCGCATGTGCTCATGCGTGCGTTTAATTATGGTGTGTCATCTAAGGGCCGTCGAGGTCGCGGTTCGGACCGAGACCCCGACGGCCGTCGACTGTGCATTTAGCTAATCGGTGGCTGGGAGCGGTGAGAACCGCCCCGGAACGCGGCTGTACCTTGTGTACGCGTTGTGTGGGTCTCGCCGTGCTCGGAGGCGAGGGCGAACTGGTGTGATTGTTGTTACACTAACTGTGGGTGTAGTGTTATCCGGCGGGACCCCCGGCGGTGGGTCCATCGTATCTAAGTCCTCTTCGTCGACCGGGACGATGAGGACGTTTCGCGGGCGACGCTTGTTTACGTTCGCATTAGTGTCCGGTTGGTAGTTTGCTGCGCTTACCACCAGAGGGTTGGGATGATGCTGGACTCTATCGAAGAACCGTTTTGTCAAATCCTTAAAATGTGCGCGAATCGTCGGGAGTCTGCAATCGCTGTGCAGGTCGACGTTGCGCTGATACCACTGCGCACCGGTTGCGCGGCGGATAAACTTATTTTGTACTATTTGCAACTTGTACAAGCGAGTAGGGTGCGTGTGGGCGAAGATCATGCATGCGTAGGACATAATAGGTCGTACGCAGGTCTTATATAATAATAATTTGTGCCTTAAGGGCATTTTACTTTTAGCATTAGTTAAATTGTGTAGCCGGCCGGAGACGAACGCGGCTCTATTACGAACGTTATTAATGTGCGTAGTAAATGACATACGCGAGTCGAAAGTGACTCCTAAGTATTTGACCTTTTTCTCCCAGGGGAGCGGTTGGCCATAAAGGGATATTTGCCCCAACTTTCTGCATTGGCGAGGGCCATTATAAAGATGTGACGGGTAGGTACTTCGTGTGAAGTGAATCGCCACACTCTTTTCGGGATTTATTTCTATTCTCCATTTGCGGAACCAATCGCCGAGGCGGTCGGCGGCGCTTTGGAGTCGAGTGGTTAGTATTCTAAGGTTGCGGTCTGAATAAAAGAGCGCGGTGTCATCCGCGAAAAGCACGAGATTGACGTGGGGGTCTTTGGGTATGTCGCTCGTCTGTAGAGCGTAAAGAGCAAAGGTGAGAGGCAGGAGCCTTGTGGTACGCCGGCCGTGAGGCGGCGGCTTGTGGAGAGGGTGCCCTCGACTCGATATCGAAAAGAGCGATTCAACAAAAAGGCCCGGATGGTGTGTACGAGCCTATCTGGCACTTTGAGTGTGTACAGCTTGTAAAGCAAGCCGTTGTGCCAGACTTTGTCGAATGCTTTTGCGACATCGAAGAAGAGAGCCCCTGTGCTGATGTGTTTGGGGCGGTTTAGGCCTTTTTGGGATGTGCTCCGTTAGGCGGTATAACTGGTCGGGACATGAGTGTCTAGCTCGAAAGTCGAATTGTTCCGTCGGCAGAAGGCCGTTGGAAAATACGTGCTTTTTGAGCCTGTTTAACAAGAGCCGCTCGTAGAGCTTCCCCAGGCAACTGAGGAGGCTGATGGGACGATAGCTAGAGGGCTGATTAGCTGGTTTATTCGGCTTGCGAATGCCGATAACCGTGGCTTGCTTCCAGTCGTCCGGAAAGGAGCAACTGGAGAGAAGGGTATTGAAAATGGTCGCCAGTAAACAGATAAGCGGCCCAGGGAGAGCTTTGAGAATTTTATTACTTATATTATCTGGGCCCGGGGCGGATTTTGGTTTTAAATTTTTAATAATATCTTGGACCTCTTCGGGGGTCACTGAATTTAAAGGTTCGCCTTCCAGTGGAAGCGCAGCCCTAGTCTCGATTACGTGGTCCACCTCCGTTAGGTGGACTGAATCGGTGTGTTCGCGCGATGGCGTACATTGCTGCTCTAGGTTGTCCGCAAGGCATTCGGCTTTTTCGGAGTCATCTAGGGCTACTGAAGCGCTATTAGGTCTAACTAACGGCGGTAGGGATTCGCGGGGGTCTGCTTTCAGACTGCGGGCCAACCGCCAGTAGGCGGTGTGCGATGGCTCGATGTTCTCTAGGAGAGTGTCCCACGTTGTGTGTCGGTGTTCCGATACACGATCTTTGACTTCTAGCTGAAGGCGTCGAAGTAGGGTTCGGTTCGATTCCGATCGGTATCGGTTCGAAGCGCGTTTGGCTGCATTTTTCTGTCTAATTAGCAGTCTTAGGTCGGGCGGAAAGTTAAACCGTCGGTCGCCCGACAGTTTCACCGTCCGTTCCGAGTCTGTGACTGCGGAAGTAATAGTTTCTCGGAGACTCGCTATCGCTCGATTTGCGTCATCGAACGTAGCTATCGTCTCGGGTAAGTCTACTAAGTCCTGGGGGTCCAAGGCCTTGAGTTTGACCTCAAGACGATGCCAGTCCACTACGGATTTGGTCGGAGGGACCGCGCCGGCGTTCTGGCCCAGTTTACACAGGACGGGCCTGTGGTCTGAGTCTAGTTCATGGATTGTCTCTATCGACTCGATGTCGAGCGAGACCTCCCTGAATAACATGATGTCTAGGACACTCGGTGACGCGTGTTGGTAGTTGTCCACCGTAGGATACCTAGTGGGAGTCGCGGGAGCGACTATGCTAAAGTTTAGGTTATCGGATAAGCTAAAGAGATGCTTTCCGTTGTTATTTGGGATGCTGTTGGTGTCCCATGAGCCGTGTTTGCAGTTTAGATCTCCTGCAATTATCACGGAAGGGCCTAAGTTAAGAAGCGTATCTAGGTCGCTTTGAAGTAAGGTTCTATTCCCCGAGAGGTAGGCTGAAACTAGTACAAGCGGCCTGTGGCCGGTGAGCGCTAACCTACACGCGGATGCCTCTATTTGACTTAGCTCTGGAATGTCGAGCGGGCAACAGTGCAAGGACCGTTTATAATAAATTAATGTGCCTCCCAGACGGTTTGCTAACCGGTCGTGGCGGACAATATTGTAATTTGCGATTCTGGGATCGCGTACACTAGGTTTCAAGAATGTCTCTTGCACTAGAAAAATATCTACGTTGTAGTCGCGAAGGAATTCCGCGATTTCGTCCCTTTGACCCTTTATGCCGTTTGCGTTGAAATACGAAACAACCAGAGCCCGAGGTTTTGTTCTACCTGCGGTTGTACTTCCCATTAAGGTGTTTTTATGGGTCTAATTAACGACGCGGCGGAGCGCGGTTTTATTGCGCGGACTATTGTCTTTTACGGTTGGCTCGTAAAAGCCCAAAGGGCTTCCACAAGCGTTTTATGTTGGCTAATTGCCCTAAGACGCTCGTTGCCAGATGTGGCGGCCGCTATTTTAGCGGACAATACGGCGAGTTCCTGCCTATTGATCCTATCTAATAGGCTGCAGATGTTTGCGATTTGCGCGAATGGGTCGTCCTTGTTTTCCGCGAAAACTGACGGAGTTGGCTGCACCTGCGGCCGCGGCGCCGTTTGAGAGGCGGGCAGCTGTTGTGCGATCGGTCGTGAGGCGACCGGGATTACCGGCGTGGTTACCTGCGCGGCCACCTGGGGTTTCGCCCAGGCGTTAGTGACGGGTACGGGCGCGGGAACGTATTTAACGGGCGCGGGTTTGGGCAACGTAGATTTCGCGGGAGATTTTCTCGCGGGAGTTTTCGGGGCCTTAGCGCAGCCTCTATAACTAGCCGGGTGGCCGGTAGCGTGACAGTTTACGCAGTCAGGTGGATCTGCGCAATCTTTTGGCCTCGTGCACTCGGTTGTGCCGTGGTCACCGGTGCATTTGACGCACCTAGGGTGAGCGAAGCAATTATTGGCCGTGTGGCCAAAATGTTGACAGTTGTGGCACTGTGCCACAACACCTGATTTGCGCGGGGGCTCGATGACTAAGTCACTGAGCCCACAGACCCTCTTTAGGTTGAAGATGGCCTTACCTTCCGGGGTAGAGTCAAGTTCAACCATGACCATGTCCATAGGGACACGGGTTCTAGGGTGCCTAAGACGTCGTACTGCATGTACGGGGTATCCCTGAGTGCGGATGTCGACTTTAGCCTTATCGACATCCGACTCTTTGGGGACGCCCTTTATTACTACCCGAAGTTTACGCTCTTCGGGCAACGAGTAGGTGTGAAAACCTACCTTATTTTCGCGTAAATACTTGGTTACGCGGCGGAAATCGTCTGTTGTGTCCAGGTATACGCGGATACCCATGTGTGTATTTTTTGACCGGAGGTCGCGGATGTTGTGGCGTTCAAACCACGAGCATACTTGATGCCACTTTGCCTTTTCTTGAATAATTATTGGCGGCGGTGGCTTATTTTTCGCTCGGAGGCGAATTCGGGTACCAATTGGGCAGCCGCGGCCGCCTTTTTGGCGGGCGTTGCGGTGGGACGGTTAGATGGGGCGGCCTCGCATTCGGGGTCGCTGTCAGTTGCGGGGCGTTTTTTGCCCTTTTTGCGCGACTTTACGACGGTGAAGCCGTCGGCGTTCGCGTCATCAGCGGGGGTCGTTTCGACCTCCATGTCCGAGCCACCGTCCGATTTTGAGTCGGGAACGACATCGCGGAAGGGGGCCGAAATTGGTTGCGCGGAAGGCGCGTTGGGTTGGTTCGGGGCGGCGGAAGTCGACGCGATGGGCGTTACTAGTGTCGCAGAAGGCGACTCATTAGCTGGCGCAGAGGGCACCGGAGATGGCGGCGAGGCGACTGCCGGTGAAGCCGGGTTGTCGCTAGCGTATTCGACGACGCGGCGTTTCTCCGCGGCGAAGGCGAGAAAGCTGCGCCACATTTCGGGGCATCGTTCGCGAATGAATTCCTCTAAGAGGGAACCCATAACGGCGCTTGAACCTTTGGGGCTTGCGCCCCGCCGGCGTGTAGTTTCTAAATAGGCCTCCCCACCTTGCGGCAGGGAGGTGTGTGCCTAAAACTAACAACTATTTCACCTGCGCTTTAGGTGCGCTAGGGTGGGTACCTAGCTGTCGCCTATCGCAACAAGCACACAGTTATTAAATAAAACAATGCCGCCTCTGAGGCGAGAAGTGTGTATGGAATTCTACTTACAGAACAGGAACCTGCCTACGAGCACAACACTACACTAACACTAAACTGCAGCACTGCTTGCACAAAGATTTAATTTGCAACCGAAGTTGCGAGTAGCGTCTAATTCGGGTGGCATGAGCCCTCCGTCTTAGAGAGACGTCCGTTCCGTACGAGAGCACGAAGCGGAATGTTCAAGTTGTTAGTAGCCGCATGCATGAGTCGTACCTTTGTCTTGCATTTGATGTTGACTGAGTACCACTACAAATGCGTCTGATTCCAGTAAGGCGGTGTCAGTATTGGTGGAATCTAATTCTGCGAACAAAACTTGTTTTAATTTAGCAAAAAGAAAAAAACAGTTGAACAACTAACAGCTATTCATTATAATATGATTATTTATTGTAACCATAAAATAACCTTTAACTGTTGCAATAATGTTATAGTAAAGCTTAGTATGAGTACATAATGTATATCAACCAAACAATTCGAATACTGTATTGACACTCGATGTCTTTTACTTTGCATTAAACATTAATGGCATATTATGTTGTTGTTTAAGCATAAATATACACTAAAACAACAGTTTAAGTACATTGCTAAAATGAAAAAAGTGGCCAACATTATTAATGGAATAGCATTAGTAAAAGCGAACCAATTTATAAAAATAACGCACAACCTTTACGAATGAAAACGCTCTCAAATTAATAATATTTTCCTGTCAGAAACATGAATTAGGCCCTAAAATAGAGTCTTATATCTTTTGTAATTCACATCGTTTTTCGTTATTATTAAAATGTTGGAACTCGAATATAAATACATTAAAATTGAAAGTGTGAAATATAAATAGGCGCATATTACTCGTAATTCATAGGCCCGCCAAGACCTGAAATAAGTAGATTTTGGTCAATTAGTTTAGAACAGAGGGGAAAGATTTGGATGGACTGTGTGAAGAATGTGTGCGAAAGTGTAGTGAGATGACGACTGTGCAACTGGAAGAGAAGTACGTATTGTCCTACTCTATCTAGTATGGAACAGGATAGGAGAAAGACTCTGGACAAATTTCAAACAAATTTAATGACCAGTAACAGCGCGTCTTGACGTCTCTAACCGTATTCGATGATAAAATTGAATACAGGGAGGCTCTAAGTGTATCCATTTTTTTATTAAATTCTATACATAAATAGTGTTATATAAAAAAAGGATAAATATTTTAAATCACTCGTAATTAATTAATTACATTCATTTGAACTTCTCTCAAAAAAATGCGTGAATTACGGGCAACTCATTTATTTTACGCGCGCTCATTCATAACACGCACACAAGTTTGTTTCAAAAGTATACGATGCATTTATGAATGATTACCGCATTGTCAACGAGTTCTGGTTTTTTTTTTTGGGAATAGAATAACATTTTTTTCGAAGAAAAATGTTTGTTTTTATTTCAATAAACAATTATACTACCGAGTTTGAACCTCTTGTGTGAATTTGGGCACTTCTAGAAAAGTCACCTTTATAATTTGCTAAATATATATACTAACCATAATTCGCGGATGCGTTTGTTCGGTGGCCCGATGTCATCACAAATTGACCCGTTGTCGTACTTAATGCGGTCGTTGTGGCGAACACTAGAAATGTTTAAATTTTAATAAACCTCCAGTTGGTACATGTTCATTAGATAATATATATTTTATGTAAATACGTTATTCGTAAAGATTTGAACAAAATAGAGTTTACATTCTTTCATTCAGAAATCCGAAACGAATTGAGTCCGTAAGCTGTTTGCGATATGAATGAGTACACGGCTGAGTCAAAGCCGTTATTTGTCTGAATATTGTTAAATTCTATACTTGTTTCAATTCATTTTAGTTTAACCGATTTCATTTGTTTCGATGGGCCAAATTATAACTTTTCTGTATTAAAAACATTAACATTAAAAACAACGAGGAATATTTGTGAGAGGTCTGTTTAAAGTTCAAGTTCCAAGTTGCTTGGAAGTTGCGGTGATAGGGCCACGCACCAGCCTCGCTGTTGCACGAATGGGCAGGCCCGTCCGGGTAAGTACCACGACCTCACAGAAGACCAGCGTAAAGTGGAAGTATGACAAATACTTTCGCGTTTCGTCTGGTGAGTGCATCAACGCATCTGTAACCCTCGGGTGTTGCAGATGTCCATGGGCGGCGGTATTCACTTAACATCAGGTGAACCGTCTGCTCGTTTGGCAACTTTTCACATAAAAAAAAAACAGTCGGACAATAGCAATTTACTCTGTTCTACGCGTCTTTTTACTTTTTTCAAAATCGTACGTATATGCCCGACAAACGTTCCAGCTAATTTTCGCTAAATACTTACTGTACAGTGTAACGCTGTTTTCTCCGTCCCCGAGAGAGTTTACTGCGTGACAATGATAACGACCTGCGTCTTCTCTTGTCACGTTATTAATTTTAAGATGGCTCGTGTGCTCGTAAGCGTTCAATATAGTTTTTGTTTCGTGCTTCGAACCTATAAATATTTTTTCGCGTTAAAAAAACAAATGCAATCACAAATGATAATAAAAAAACCTCCTCCGCGTGAATTTCATAGTAAAGTACAGTAACAAATGTCTCCTATGTACATACAGAGTATATGTATAAAACCCCACTGTGAATTGTCATCCACATTTTTTTGGAATTATTTGGCATCTATGCAGGTCGTATAAGATAGCACTTGAAACGAATGATTCCATTGATGCCGCCACGGGATTTGGACTCAGGTTGCTGGAGTATATTGAATTAAAAGCGAACGGGCTCTAAGCTATCATGGCACTTTAAAGGTTATGATTACAATTCGCGGACGAATCAGCAAAAGTATTTACATTTTATAAAAAACTTTATTACCATCCTTAATTCTATCTTGATACATGTTGGTCCAGTATACTTTTGGTGGTGGATAAGCCTTGATGTGACATTGAAGAGAAGCGTCTTCCCCGATGTAAACTCCGAACATTTTCTGTATGATCTCAGTTTTCGGTCTACCTACGGGTTAAAAGTTATTGTAGCAGTTCATCACGCAGTCAACTATTTATATTTTATAATTTTTCGATGACAGTTAGTAAAAAAGTAAAAGTAAGCATAGCACTAATAACTTATACAATGTTTAATACCTTGTAATGAAAGAAGTACTAAAGTTTTAAAATATACATACGGCGTTTTCATTATTTTTTAATAGTGATTAACGTATACGGCGGATTTTATAAACTATATTCAGTATATTATTAATTATGAAAAAAATATATTAAGCAGCTAAAAGTTCAATAATAATCTATTTACTCTTTGAAGAGCAAAAAGTAAATCATAAGAATAGGAAATACATATCGAATGTTTCTGTCGTGTACTTTTCGGAGTCAGTTGTTAACAGCTGGTTTTGTACAATCTAATATCTATGTAAAATTCTCGTGTCACGGTTGGGTTATGTTTGTAATTGAACTCCTCCGAAACGGCTCGACCGATTTTTGTGCAAATTTTGTGTGCATATCGGCCAGGGTGGCGAATCGGACAACATATTTTTCATCCCCCTAAATATTAAGGGTACTCCACCGCAAACATTTTTTTCTACCCCACAAATAATTTATATGGCAAAACAACGTTTGCCCGGTCAGCTAGTTCTATATAGAATCTTGAAGATTTTTTTGAATGGGAAAGTTATCAAGCGCGCCGATGGCTCACCTATGGTCATCTGCAACACCACGTGGAAGAGTCCGTATTGGTGACATAGTAAAATAAATTGAACACGATTTTACTTCTAAAGTAAATCCTGTCTCAGCCGAACTTACATAGCACATGCAGAGGTATTCTTTTGCTGACACTGGGCGGCACTCCGTTGCTGGCGATGCAGAATAATGCCCCGTTCATGTCACATTGCGCCGAAGTGACGTTGAGCCACGCACCCTCCCACTTAGCAACTGTAGCAACTTAAAACTGTAGGTGATAGCTTATTGACTTTATTTATCTAGTTTGGTCAGAGCGTTTCCAAAAATAATTATTTATTGTAAAATAACCTTTAACTGTTGCAATAATGTTATAGTTAAGCTTATTAGTATGAGTATATTATAATGTATATAATTTGAGTACTGTATTGACATTCGATTTCTTTTACTTTGCATTAAACATGAATGGCATAGTGGGTAGTGTACCTGCCTCCTGCGCCAGAGGGTATGGGTTCGATCCCTACTACTGGAAAAATATTGTGTGATGAACATGGTGGTTTTCTAGCGGCTAGGTGTTTATATATGCATAATATCTATTTATTTACAAAAGAAAAGTATGTTTATCAGTTTTCTAGTACCCATAGTACAAGCTTTGCTAAGTTTGGGCCTGGAAAATGTTGTGTAAAAATGTGTCCTTAAAAATATTTTGATCTATTTTGTCGTACCTTGAAATTTCGAGATTTGTGAAGTGTCTTTCTGTAGAAAAATATTGGAGTACCCTGAGCTACATTCACTGATTATAATAATTACTCACTGATATTTATTAGTACTAAATGAGATTAAACATGTGATGAACCAGTTCACGAAGAAACACCCGCTGAAGAAGTATGATAGTCAAAATACTTTGAATCATTAGTTATTTATAAAAATTTTTTGTAAAAAATGGACAAAAAGTTTTTCATCGGTTCGGGAATCAAAACCATGCCTTCTGAATTCCAACCAGACCACTGAACTAAACTGTCTGATTACCACACCAACGAAAATCTCAACATATTTTATCTACACTCAACAAATTTCAATGTTTCATCTTAAGTGATTGGCACTATAAAAAATAAGTTTATATACATAGGTATGTTTGAATATGTGCGGATCACAGACGAGGCAAACAAATGTGAGGTACCTTTTTCACCACCAACTGTTAACAACTTTAAATCCTCTCTCCTCCAAGTGATAGTAGGTTTAGGGATCCCAGATGCAGCGCAGTGGAGAGCTATGCTGTCACCTTCATGCACGATCACTTCACCACTACTGTCTGAATCCACGATGTCTGGTGGCACTGATCGCATTACAATGTATTTATTATTTTACCTTTAACAGCGTTTAAACTGTTCAAATATTTGATATTTTGTGCGGAGGAATTACTTTTTATTCAACAGTCATTAAGAATTTATCCCTCAAATCATTAATAGCCGGATAGACGAGTGTCCGGGTGCTCGTTTTTAAGCCTGGGCAACTCAATACAAATCACAGAATCGGCGGCAACGAAATTGTGGTTTGCACTTTTGGTTAAACTAAAACTTTTAATGCTCCTTTTATAGTTATTTAGTTGCAATTGGTTGCCATGGTAACACACCTCGAAGTTGGTCGCTGTGCAATCAACTTCGTCATGTCGCCTTTTGGCTGTCGATGTTGGCGCGCATCCTTTTTTTTTAATGGGAATAGGAGGCAAATGAGCATGCGGGTCACCTGATGATAAGTGATCACCGCCGCCCATGGACATTTGCAACATCGGTTGAGTCTCAATTGCGTTGCCGGCCATCGTAAAAATTTTATCCTCATATTTTTTCCAGACGCGCCAAATGAAGTTAAACTTCAAAAATCGTACCGTAAACGTGCAGTTGGAAGCTTTGTGCCGTCATCGGTTCCGTGTTGATTTGGCACATGTAGAGGGCCGTATCACTCGGCCGTACTTCGCGCAGGGTCAGAGCCCATGCGTGGGGCTCCACCCGCGCTACCGCCACTCGATGGTTCTTCGTTATCACGTGCTGCCCTATTGTAAGAATCGTTTGTGTATCGACGCGCAGCCACGCCACCTGTCGATGGAATTATTTGTGAGAACATTTCCGTTTAGAGACAGTGGAAAAAACTGAACATAAATATCCTCTGATAAGTAAGAAGGTACTACAAAAAGCAGTTATTACGACTAAAAAGTTAGCGAAAAATTAAACGGACGTTACCCGTACATGGTACTAAAATGCGAGTATGGCACAATTTCTAGACACTTTTCTTTGTTAGGTTAGCCCTTAATTAATTTTAACAATAATGGCATGTGCTAATGAGATACAATTAACATTACAAATTACATTGTCAGCAGGTTTCTTCGACTTGTATTTTTGGAATTTCTTTGTTTCTTATTATTCTTTAATTCTTGTTATTCTTTAATTTTTTTTCTTCATTTTACTGAAATTATTTGCTCATAAGTACTTCCAAAGATTGTGTCATACAACCAAATTACCTACCTGAATAAATTTAAAATCTATTTATATGTGAACGTAAATACTTAATAGCATCAGATATTTTATTCTACAACAAAGTTCGCCACTAAAGGCAAGTTAAAAAAAAACATTTTATAGGAAAAGCTGTAAAATTCTTGAGTTCTGAGTATAGTATAGTTTTTTATTAAGAAATGTCAAAATGTGTTTTTATTACCTACATTTATTCTGAATTGAAATTTGTTAAGCAGATCGTTGTTTTAAAGACAAAGCAATTACGTAATGAATAAATTATTTAACCGGAACAATCTTTATCATCGGTAAAATAATTTCTTGTTTCGTTCTGCCTTAAGGCAGGAATTGAATCTTTTTAGTGATCACGTTTTTTTAATCGTCAAAATTAGTTTTAAAGTAATATTTTTCATTAAGCCTTTAATTTACGAAGCCATCTCTAAGCAGTATTTGGTGGTATTTCAAAATTGCTGCGTCAAAATACTGGAAAGATTTACATCAACCATATCTTAATATCTATTTTTAAATGGTTTTGAAAGCAAATACCGCTTGACTACTTGTCTACTTCAAGTGCCATGACATAAAATATTTTTAAACAACTTTTTTGGTAGCGTTATTTTGTACTTTCTATAGTATTCATGTAATAATATCTAGGTAGATCAAAATAACGGAGATAAGATACTTTCGTCATTATACAAATGACGTCGTGTGCTTGCTAACTTCATGTAATATTGAAAGAAAATTGGAAAGTGCCACAACATTTTGAATTTGTTTATTAAACTTAAATGACGATTCGAACACCGTTTACAAAATGCCGAGACAACTGGTCATAACTATTTATTTTTTCTACCACCTGTGGCTTCTAATAAAGTTCAATGGGGAAAGAGTAGTTTAAGCAAATGGAAGTAATTGATGAAAATAGTGTTTTTATTAGTTATATAACGATATGTAAATAAATTAATGAAAAGAAATAGTTATTACAAGTTGCTATCACAAGTTGAAAGCTGTGAAACAAGTAAAGGTTTTGAGATTATCCGATACATAAGAAATTTAACGATGCACGATTTAATAGAAGCTGGCATTCGATCCACACTTACATTATTAGTACTGTTTTAATAGAATATCTTGGGCAGCTATGACTCTCTAGTGAGCAGGACCGGGATAGGCAGAAGGGGTAAGGGAGTGACAGCGATGGCAACGGAAATTAATCGAAACGTTGAGCATCCAGCAGCTGGGTGGGTGATCGATACAGTAATAATTTCAGGAACTCGGTGCAGATTCGCTAAGACAGAGTCGAGTCAGATGTAATAGCAAAATTTATCAAGATTTTTTTTACACATTCTTAAAAATTTAAATCGGCCAGTGTTTGATTACTATCTCAGTCAAATAGAGTTTGTTTCCTGCTATCTGCCATTATAAATTTAGTGCTATGATGCAGATGAAAGAAAGAACGAAAGTAAATAAATTTATTTACCAGAAAAAGGTCGCACAATTTACAACATTAAAGTAAAATTAACAAAAATACAATAAATAAAAATTTTAGTAAGTAATAAACAGTTAAAAAAAAACAAAATCAACACAAATAAAACTGCTGTAAAATAAAACTTATCTCCAACACCTAATTAAAATATGACGCGTAACTTTAATGAAATATTTTTTTACAAATAATATAATACAAACATACGTACAATAAAAGGCAATCCACTGTAACTCCCTACATCCAACATAATATTTTTTATATTACATTTTATACAAATGGTTACTGAACTTATTCCACCGCACCATACATCGTAGGAGAATAACATGTTACAGTTTACGTTTTGTTTTTGCTCCCTTTTGTTACGCCACAGCATATTTACGAATTAAGGATATAAATCAACAGACCGTTATATTTTACGTCGGCGAGTCATAAACGGTGCACCTAACCGTCATAATTGCTCTACCCGTGGACAAAGTGCGGTGTCGACGTTCCGCCCTTGGTATTTACGAGTGTTGGGCCCTTGAGCCTTCCACATCAGCTGACGTCAACTCGTGAATGGAAACGCATTAAGAGGGAGAATGAGTTATGGTAACAGTTAGTTTCGATAACGACAGTTTAACGTACCATTACCTACATAGCTTCCTTTGATATAATAATCTGTCATGCTGATAAGTACTTAAAGCCCTTATAAACCTCTATGTATTCAAAGAACCAAAACATCAAATTATTTAAATAGCTATAGTTGTGTTATGTATACATCAATATATATCAATTAATAATATGAATATTGCATAGATTGTTACACGATAGGAAATATAAATATTATACATAAATATTGGCCTATAAATGAGAACTTGATTTGGACCACGAAATACTCCACTATAAAAATTTGACCATAGAAATCGAGTATAATGGTTTTGCTGTGTTTAAATTAAAATTCTAAGCAGAGTGAATAGCAATTACCTATGTAGTTGAGATGCCGTACCAGCATCTAAATCTTTACGAGAATCATCGAAACTCATAACAAGAACGGATCTTTGAATAGTGAAAAACTGTACGACGTTATTAGTCTCGACAATAAGAAAAAAAAACTAGTTTAAAATCTGAGCTGCCCATCATCCAAAATTTCTCGAGAGGTAGATACAATACCGCCTCATTACTACATCAGCGAGCGGCCTTCTATTTGAAACGAAATAAATATTTTAATAAGCAGTCGGGACCCTGGGCCCGATAATGTCTAATACGCTTCATTCAATAATTATTTGAAGAAATTTTTTCACATATTCTATGTCATTAATTGTTTCATTGTGCATGTAAGTGATAATACTAACCTTATAATTTTCTAAATTCTCCACGTTGCACGTAAGAGTTGCATCCCGTCCTATGACCACTGTTACATTCTTCTCGCTGATCGATACCCTTTGAGCTCCTATAACAGTAGAGATATCTTGCCTATTTGTGTAAAAACGGTCAAGGTAAGCAGTAAATCAATTGTGCTTTACACTACCTTATATGGGTTATCTGATCTCCCTAATATCAATCTTTATAAAACTAAAATGAAATTTAGGAATCGTTTAACAAGTACCACATCTTAAAATTTTCTCGAGTTCAAACAGATAAAGTGAACACTTAGCACAACTTATATTAAGAATATACCAATCTAAGTAGTTCTATGGACTGACTGCATTATGTACTCTTATTTATACAAAAATACCATTTATAATATGTATATATTGATTTACTTTTTTTGTCTTCATAAATAGTGAACAAAGAGTTAAGTCTAAAGGCTGTGATAGTGAGTTGGGGAAATTATTAAAATTACAGTTTTAGGATAGTCAATTAGTGTGATCACAATAAAAAAATCGGCCAAGTGTGAGTCGGACTTGCGCACAAAGGTTCCCGTACCCTTATCTATAAAAACGGCAAAAAACCGTGTCTGGTGTATGGGAGACCCACTAAATTTTTTTTTATATTGCTGTTTTTTAGAATTTGTTGTTATAACGAAAAAAACAAAAATATATCATCTGTGAAAATTGCAACTATCTATCCCGTGTTGGAGATACAGCCTGGTAACAGACGGACAGACAGACAGACACCGAAGTCTTAGTAATAGTCTCCCGTTTTATCCTTTGGTTACGGAGCATAGAAATGGACAATGTAAATTTTTTTTTCCGGTTAGAAGAGATATGTAAATTGATATCACGCCAAGAAACACTACCATTTCGGAATGTACAAGATTGGATTGGAGACATCAAATTCAAAAGGTAGAATTATGTTTATATTCTATGTTAAGTTATTACGGCTAAAAAGCCGGCGAATCTTAACGGTTTTCCTAGAATTTACAAGAGTAATCCGATTAATACAAGGTCATAAATAACAAATCCTTAAGTAATCGAGATAAAAACTATCACAGTTTCTGATCAGAAATATATCGTTTTTAATCTAACTCTATTATTTTACCTTAATACTAAGGTTTCTTACTCTTCTGAGTGTACTTTTTTTTTAATAACAGTACTCACATTTAAGCACACTCGCGGCCTACATATTTATAACAATAGCTATAAAACTAGCATATAGCCAGTTTTGAGAGTAAATTTATTTACAAAGTCAACAAAAATAAAAAAATATAACACTTTAAAATTCATTAATTAATTAAAATTAATAAATAATTGCCATACATTTTAATTTATGTTATCTAATAATTAAGTTAATTACAACATGTTACATTAAATTCCACATGTTTAGAAACTAATGGCGCAGCCATAAAATTTGATGGCAATTGTATAATTAATTCGAATAAAATTGATTGAAAATTTACCTTTAACATATATTAAATACCAAATAATGGCTATTAAAATTGCTTTCGCTGACATATCTAGGTACACTCAAAACACTTGACACAACAACGTCAACTTTTTCTAAAAGAACATGTCTTAAAAATTATCTTTGAACTATTACAAAAGTTTACCGCCTGATGTTTTATACAAAGCGAAATTTCCGGAGCCCCACGTCGAATTCGCAATCCCAACTGGCTTCACTGAACAACTACGCCAAATAGGAATTGGTAAGAGCGCAGGCGCGTTTAATTCCCGCTTAAAATTATTATGCAAAACTGTAATACAATAGAAAATGACACAGAAAACTTAAACATGTTTAATAAAAAACATTATTGTATTAAACATGGAGCGTGTCTTTCGTCGCAACATAGGCCAGGTTGTGGTGGAGTGTGGCGTGTAAGAAGATCCCTTTTATTTTAAATAATAAAAAAATGGTAATGGTTAGTAAATCATTCGGCGTTGAATCTGATTTGATTTTGTAATGGAATTGATACCAGATACGAGTCAAAGTGGAGAAACTAGCGATCACAATTTTCCCTGTGCTCCGCGATGGTTTCCCTTTTGTAGAGGCGTTGGTTCGTTTTGAAACCGCCAAAGTGTCGCCAAGTGACTGACGCTTTGTTTCTGGATCGTATTGATGATCGTCACCTGTCACAATGTCGTAAACGCGCCGAGACAAATTGACTAATCATGTCACGATACCGTTCCAGGTCGCGAATACTTTTTTTTAATTCAAAACTGGCCAGCACTTTTCTGCCATCCCACCTGATGGTAAGTGGCGATGCAGCCGTTGATGGTAAGCGCGCTAGCTCAGTAAAATAAAACTTAATAACTTTTACATGATTTACACTAATTCTATTAGGCTCTCAAAAATGTGGAGGCATATTTAAAATTCGAAAAATGTTTTTTTTTGTTTTTAAATAATTAAACTTTTTAAAATAATTATAATCAGCGAGGGCTTCATAGATATAAACTTTTTTTCGCAAAACTATCTGACTGACCTGGTATATACCTAACATACATTTGTAAATTATACTCGAATTAAAATAATTTATTAAAATATTTTAAATAGTGGCGTTGTTTGTATATTTTGTTGTGCATATTGTGAAAAAGTACCTGGAGGATGGAGCTTTGTTTAGTTTGTTTTTTTGTTGGTAAATCATGTATTTTGGAAATTACATTTAGATACAAATTAAAAGAAATATGCACAATATTTTTCGATCTTACCGACGTGATAATAAGAAAATATGAACTGGTGTTTTTCACAAAAGAAAGAACTTTAAAAAAAAAAGGGAAAAAATAACAAATCGACAAAAAATAAAGAAAGCAATGATCTGGAATCGAAAAAAAAGTAAAAAAAATAAGTGTGTAAATGATCGTGACACGAACCACGGCCCTCTGTTTCGGGGCCGCCCGATTACCGACCTAGCTATAATAACATTTTTATTTCGGCGAAATGTACCCTTCTTGAAAAAAGGGATAAAAGGACATTTTCTAAAAATGAAACCTAGCTAGATCGATTTTACGCCCCCGAATCCACGCACATACTAAATTTCATGAAAATCTTTGTGGAAATTACGCTTAAGACAGAAAAATTCTTTAGAAGAGAAGATACACCAAAGTTGTCGTAATCTACTTAAAAGGGATCATTCATCTAAAACCTGAAGAGGTCTTTGTTTGGGGCACGTCTAAATCACCCGAGAGAAATAAACTTATAATCGAGATCCCTTATATATTAGATTAAAAAATAAATCAGTTTTGCTCTGAAAAAAAGGTAGATATAAAATAAAAAGAAAATAGTTATATTAAATATATATCAACTTCAGGCTACTTTTAAGCCTTTCTTCTAACTCAACGCTACGCTAAGATTTTAATTTCCTTAAAAGCCACCCCATATTACACAGTATATCACTGAGTATACAACACAAAATATTAAAGAAAACATCCAAAATACGCGCTATGCGAAAGAATAATTATATTATCCCTTGAAAAATTCAATTCTCTTGTGTTATTGCGCCAATGTGTTGAGCGTTTATTAATTTACATTAGTAATCGTACAAAAAGTAAGAAGAGCTTTTAGTTCTAATGAAAATTTAACATTATTAATATTTTATTTTACTTTTAATTACATTTTTTATACAGTCCTTTTCTTACTTACGAGTCAATGGTTATGACAATCATAGTACAGATATTTAAGCAAGTTATACAGAAATTAAAATATGGAATAAATAGGATTGTTAAAAAAACTTAATACATTTTAATTATTATTGTCAAATAAAAAGATTTGATTATTGACGAAAAAAACATTTTATTTCTAAACAAGGATTACCTTATAAATTCATTAAATTTCTATAAATTTTTAAACACTGTTAACCGACATCAAAGGGACAATGACTCCGGGGTCTTATAACTCTTTGGTTAATGTCTTTACATATACAATTCTCTATATACGACATCTAAATATAAATAAACGTAATATTAAAGGCAGCTGCATCTTTTCATTAAAATTATGTTGATCAATTTACATTACGTAGGTATCAATGAATGAAATTTGTTGACATAAGAACCCAAGTATAAATAGACATTAACTTAGTATATTTTTGTAAAGAAATCTTGAAAAAATAAATGTTTATCTTACAGCCAGCATTGGTTTCATCGATTTAGAGACACTGGCTCCATTTAATAAGTGAATCCCAAATTATGAAATTCGACCTCTAAAATATTTGTCGAAATTGGTCACGAAATGGTGTTTATTGGTCTTCTTCGTACGACTTGATTCGGACGTTCGGTAAACGCTGTTTGTAGTTCAGTTTCCATTAAGACGACATGCAATTTAAGAGAACTATCGATCACGAACAAGCTTTTATAATATTAGCTTATGTCTTTAAGCCATATTTTGTGAAGGAACAGTCCAAAAGGTAATCAACATAGCATGCTAAGCTTAGTGGGTGCATAGTACGGTCTATGTAAACGGTAAGGTTTTTATTTTAGCGGAAATAAAAAAGAGTAACCCTTTCTTTTAATTGCCATTAAGTCTGCCGCAGTAAGCTTCGACAATGAAAAATATTGTTGATAAAAACCAACCCAGAATCAAAAATCCCATCGTGCCTGCGAAATATTTAAGATTCATTGACTCAAACTGGTTTGTTGAATCATCACATAAACGACTTTTAATATAATTAGTATGTTGTGTATTAATCCGCTCTATAAACCCTCCCTCCACGAAAATCCTTAAAATGCGACTGACCGGTTCAGTCAAAGGCGAATGCTTACTGAAATAAATAACGGAAGGGCTGTTAACGATCTTCTCCGGGATTATTTGTAATCTTCGAGAACCGTTGAACTGTTTTAAATATTCAATGATTACTTCCTTGTTGATAGCCAAGGCGAAATTCGAATTTCCATTTGAAATTTCATTTAACACGTCAAATGTATTTGAGTAGTTCAGAGTAATCCAGTTATCTAAAATTTCATTATCGTCCGAATAGTAATAACTTAATGATTCCAGCCCACCGTACACGTAATTGTTCTTTATGATGTCTTGAATATTTGTTAGTTTTTTATCATACCTTTGATGTTTCATTGAATCCATGAGAGCCGCCTGATAGCACGACCGTATTACAAAACTGAACCAAATCCAAATATACACAACGGCGACAAAAGTCCTTTTAGAGGGTATTCGTGATATTGGTATACCTAAAAATAATATCCAGGAAAAAAAAACAAGCTCGTTTTAGTAGGTGTAGCGTTGATCACCTCTCTGATATTCTTCCATGTAGCTGTTTTCATAAACGAGTTAAGTAATATTATAGCGAAAAACATAATTACCAATATAAATCTGGTATAAATCTTCAGAGGATGCAAAAGTTTTTCCCATGCTGGTCTCAACGAAGGCAATTCGGCAGTCCATACAATGTCCATTGTGTTATAAGTGAAGGAAATTTGAAAATTTCCATACAAATCTGCATTCAGCGGAAGAGAGCAAATTGAAGCATACGCGCGACCATTGTACACATCCCCTAAAGATCCTGTCCAATTGATGTTATCATACGTTCCCCAATCGGCACCATCGGATGGTGTTTTGATTACCAACGTGGCATTTAATATCTCCGTAAGCATAGATAAGACTTCACCGTCACTTCCGCCTGGATTTCTGGTCAAATTGTTCAGAAACATAAATGGCGGTTGCTCAAACGTAGACACAATTAATGGGCATTGGTGAAAGTTACTTAATTCTTCTTGGTACATTGATTTCAAACACGAACTATTCTGGCAATCGTCTAATTTTACTTCGAATGGTTCATTGTTCAAGCAATTTTCGGGTAGTATAAGATGATACGAATAAACGCGTAGACATTCATCATCTGCCTTCAGCAGAATTACATTGGGAATGTATAGTTCTGATAATGTTTGAAAAACTTCCTTTTCATCGCATCGTTGATCATTTGTCGTCGAGCAGATTATAATAAATTTTCCAGCTCTGTCGTACTTGAAATCCGTCAGCCACTTTAAAGTGTCAGATATTTCAGATGATCGTTCTCCAATTAACACGAACTGCGATAGCTGCATTCGACGAGCAGGTGTATATTTACCTCGCATTAAAATAACAGATTGGTTGTATTTGCTTAAAAATGCATCAAGGACGATCAAGGGTTGCATATTGAATATAACAAGTGTAACAAATCGCCATTCGAAGTTATAATATCCAATCCTTGCTGCCATTTCACCTAATTTAAACAACACATTAGGAGGATATTCAATATGTTCATCAAAGATACTTGTTGTATTGTAACTCATATTTGCTGTTCCAAAGTATACTAGGTACGCAATGACAGTTAAATAAATATTAGAAACTTAAGTAAATTGTTTCTTACTAATGAGAGATTATCGTGCTGAGTCGCATAGGTATATGGGTATCTAAATTGTGTTTTAATTATACATTTTAAGAGCTTTTATTGACAAATTCATTACTGAAAAAACGCAATCATACTTTTAAATCTTAATAAAATGTACCAATTTTCCAAATAACTCGCGACGAGTGGTTCGGTACATTAAACAGTTACAGAACTAATAACATAATAAACCTGGTAAATTATGTTTTTTTTAATATATTATCCATTGGAATTAACAGTTTCGGTGTGGACTGCAGTGCTATTATTTTAAAGAAATTAAGAGGATTAGGAAATCGTGTTTCCTAATCCTTGAAATTGTTTTGATTTTTTTTTTTTTTTTATGGGGTTAAGGGGAATTAGATAACACTTTCATGTCATCTAAACAATGTATTCGTCTTCCAGTAATATTTTGAACTTTTATGAACTACCGGTATTGTATGTTTTTTTTGTAACTTACTATGGTAACAAAAACATATAACGTAGTAACATAGCCTTCTACGTATAGAGCCAGCAACGACCGCAACACATAAGTTACAACATAGCCTCATAGATGAAGAGCCTACACAGCATACTCCACAGGACTCCGATAAATTCGACCCAGCGGCAGTGGCAACTAACCGAACGTGAGTAATAACGTCAATTAGAGCTCAGCAATATACATTTACATTTATTTAAAAAATATAATTCTAGATCTAAAATCGATTAATTTCACTTTGCTTCCAACCACGATCGGGTGTAGACTTAGTTTAGCGAGTTAGTTATAGTTATTTTTATATTACGTGATTCTATTATCGATCTGAATCACTTATTTTCTAGTACTTAGTCATAATTATATTGTAATTTTTATATTAAAAAAAAGTGTTTTAAATTAGTTTCGGATTCAGTTCTTCGGGTGCCGTTAACGTACCTAATTATTTTTTCTTAATGTAAGATATGATTGGGCAAGTGCATTTACCTACAAGTCCCGAATAATTTATCATCTGCCGACTATTTTTTCTACATTACTCATAATGGTAGTCTGAAATACAGCGATCCTTTCCGAGTTAGTTATAGCATTAGGTAATAGTAGTATGTGGTGGGGTCACGCAGCAGCCTCGACTGTTGCACGAATGGGCAGGCACTTCCGGGTAAGTGCCACAACCTCACAGAAGACTGGCGTAAAGTGGAAGTATAATACTTTCGCGTTTATTCTGGTGAGTGAGGTAGCCGGAGCCCAATTTTCAAAAGGTTGTCATCATCTGCAACTCTCGGGAGCAGCAGATGTCAATGGACGGCGGTATTCACTTAACATCAGGTGAATCGCTTGCTCGCTTGGCAACTTTTCAAATAAAAAAAAAGTGCCTGTGTCATAGAAACATAGCCGTTTAGAAAAAAATGGTCAATATGATCTTTGTTGACAATACATCAGTCATAGAAGGCAGCAAAGGTAAGGCAATGCTTTAGGTTAAAGATAAAAGTTATAAGTATTAAATAAGTTCTCAAAATTTAAATAAGTTCTCAACAGGTGGAAGTTCATTCGAATTTTCGGTAAGGCATACCTACAGTTGTTCTTAGGCATGAAATAGTTCTTTTTTCCAACGGAAAAATTACAAACAGAATAAAAAGAAATTGAAAGTTTTATAGTGCTAATCTCTGCACTTAACATTGAACATTAAAATATGTAGAAAAAAGTAGGTACGAAAAGATCGTCGCCGCTGTGAGAATCGAACCCACGTCTTCGGCATTCGCGGCCTGACGCTTTAGCCACTAAGCTAAACGGCTGATTGCCACACCAACGAAAATCTTAACGTGTTTTATCTACATTATTTTTAGCATTTGAAGCAATGCTAGGCGCATCCATTGTTATATCCTTTCCAGCATACAAACAATTTCAAATATCGTTTTACAACGCCAGGCCGCGAATGCCGAAGACGTGGGTTCGATTCCCACAGCGGCGACGATCTTTTCGTACCTACTTTTTTCTACATATTTTAATGTTCAATGTTAAGTGCAGAGATTAGCACTATAAAACTTTCAATTTCTTTTTATTCTGTTTGTAATTTTTCCGTTGGAAAAAAGAACTATTTCATGCCTAAGAACAACTGTAGGTATGCCTTACCGAAAATTCGAATGAACTTCCACCTGTTGAGAACTTATTTAAATTTTGAGAACTTATTTAATACTTATAACTTTTATCTTTAACCTAAAGCATTGCCTTACCTTTGCTGCCTTCTATGACTGATGTATTGTCAACAAAGATCATATTGACCATTTTTTTCTAAACGGCTATGTTTCTATGACACAGGCACTTTTTTTTTATTTGAAAAGTTGCCAAGCGAGCAAGCGATTCACCTGATGTTAAGTGAATACCGCCGTCCATTGACATCTGCTGCTCCCGAGAGTTGCAGATGATGACAACCTTTTGAAAATTGGGCTCCGGCTACCTCACTCACCAGAATAAACGCGAAAGTATTATACTTCCACTTTACGCCAGTCTTCTGTGAGGTTGTGGCACTTACCCGGAAGTGCCTGCCCATTCGTGCAACAGTCGAGGCTGCTGCGTGACCCCACCACATACTACTATTACCTAATGCTATAACTAACTCGGAAAGGATCGCTGTATTTCAGACTACCATTATGAGTAATGTAGAAAAAATAGTCGGCAGATGATAAATTATTCGGGACTTGTAGGTAAATGCACTTGCCCAATCATATCTTACATTAAGAAAAAATAATTAGGTACGTTAACGGCACCCGAAGAACTGAATCCGAAACTAATTTAAAACACTTTTTTTTAATATAAAAATTACAATATAATTATGACTAAGTACTAGAAAAGAAGTGATTCAGATCGATAATAGAATCACGTAATATAAAAATAACTATAACTAACTCGCTAAACTAAGTCTACACCCGATCGTGGTTGGAAGCAAAGTGAAATTAATCGATTTTAGATCTAGAATTATATTTTTTAAATAAATGTAAATGTATATTGCTGAGCTCTAATTGACGTTATTACTCACGTTCGGTTAGTTGCCACTGCCGCTGTTCGATTCTCACAGCGGCGACAATTATTTCGTACTTTTTCTACATATTTTAATAGAATACAAAGGTTAATAAATAAACAAGGATTTCGTACGTTTTTTATTATTAATGAGTATTTAAGCAAAGTGGATACAGCTTATGTATCTAAGCGGTATATGGAGTATTTACCTAGTTTGCAATAAATTTATTACTAAAAAAGCTGATTCTATTTGGTCCTACGTGATCGTGCTGTATAGATTTCTATAATGAAAAACAGAAACGAGGAAATCCATCCAAGGATGAGAATAGCGTAACATCCTGTACAATGAACGATGTTGATAGCTCTATTCTTAGGCCCTGACCTGTTTGTGAATTTGGACTTTGTGTAATTCTTGTACAGCTTTGAAGTGAAACCAGTTTCAACTAATTGCGTCAAAACGGAGTTGATAGAATCAGCTAATGGAGAAAACTTTTTAAAAAATATCACCGTTGGACTGCTAATTACTCTCTGTGGCAAAATATGCAAATCTAAACTGTGGTTTCTCTGGAATATTTTAGAGGTTTCATAATTTATTGCAATTACGTATTTCTGTCCTTCAGACAAATTAAGCATCGCCGCGAAGATTTCGTTGCTCTCGAAGTTTATCCAGCGATTGTAAATCGTGGGCTCATCTATGTAATAGTCTTTGAGGGCTAAACCACCGCCGATACCGTAATTAGCTGCAATGGCGTCCTCTATTTTCAGTAAATCCGAACAGTACACGTTTGTCTTTAGAGCTTTAATAAGAAACACCGTGTAAAATGTTCTTATTAGGAAACAGTACCATATCCAGAACAAAACGACGTACAGAAAGGCGAGCTTTGTAGGAAGCTTATTCGAAGGCATGCCCATGCACACCTCCCACGAATAGAAAACGAGGCTACGGCGAGGTCGCGGCACGTTCAGAGACCCAAGTACGGCGTTCCAACAGTTTCTTCTAATAAACATAGTCAACACTATAACTAATAAGAAAGAAACTGCCAAAGCAATTCGAACCTCAAAATCAAACGGCCGAAACAGTTTTAATGACGGCGACTCCAGAGTCGAAGGATGAGTGACCCACACAACTTTCACCGTGTTATAGTCCATAGACATTTGGAAATGTGTGAACCTGCTGAGTGTGATGCTCGCCGATGTCATAGACAAGTTGGCTAAATCGTAATAAACATCTGCGAGGGATCCAGACCAGGTTCCGTCCTCTTCAAGCTTACCCCAACCGAAGCCTCGATGCGGGGTAATCAACTTCAGGCTCGCGTTCAGCTTTTCCGCTATAAGACGAAGCAAATCCCCATCTGCGCCTGATGGAACGCCGTCTGTTATTTTCATATATGGCGTCTGTGTGAACGTCGACGCAATTATAGGACATGATTGTAAATTTTTCAATTTCAAAGGGAACAGTTCAAAGCAATCGCCGCTGTAATTAGAAGGAATGCACGGCAGCCAACGCTCCAATTTTTCCGGCCGTATATTTCGACAATCAAAATCTTTATAGAAATAAGTGTACGCATCAGTTCCAACTGATTCATTCGTTTTAAGGAAAACAACGTTAACGATTTTGTTATTCCAAAGCATTCTAACCGTCTCAGTTTCATCGCAATCGTGGTTTGAGAAACAAATAATAATATATTTGCCAGTGTTGTCGAATTGATGTTTCTTCATCCACGCCAACATGTGTGCTATATTCGCAACATCTGATCCAAACAGTACGTATTGGTGTGTATCTTCAGAAAACCGAGGATAGAAGGCTCCGTAACCCACGATTATACTTTTTTGGTAGGTCCGCGAGAACAGCTCAACGCCATATAAAACACTAGTGTTGTAAAATACAAAAGTAATGAAGCGCCATTCGAAATTCTGAAGTGCAATCACTGCAGCGCTCTTCACCAGCTCTTCTTCCATCGGGTCGTTGGAAGGCATTAATAAATTATAACCTGTACGTTCATTAGGCGACATGACGCTCGTGGTAAAGTAAAAGCGATTGAATATGTAGCCTGAAGCCTGTAGATGACACTGCTTTGTTGCGGCGACGTTATCTCTCTTTTAAATCAAACGTAATGGTGCAAATGGATCACACAATGAATCATAGTAGCTATAAAATAATAAACGACCGTCATTCAGTGTTTAAATAAATTCTGTCACGAAGAAAAACGTTTATTAATATTTTAATACAATTCATGATAAAGTTTAGGGTTAAAGTGAATAGGTACATAAGTGAATAATATAAGTAAGCACACCTACCTTGTGTTAGGATCAATGTATTTAAAGCTGGATTACCCGTAAAGTAAAATAAAAAAGAGAATCAAATTGTATAATTATTAAAAAAAGAGTTCTAGTAGTCAAAGCAAAACAAGAGCAATTAGATTTCGGCGGATAGTTGTCCAATTTATGATCAGTAAAAAAGATTCACTTTTCATGTTGTAGGTATTTGGTGTATACTCACACGGGATACCCTTCTGTTTTACACTCATGAAGCCTGAAGTGCTTGTGCGTCGTGTCAATTGCTAAACTCTTGGGACTCTTGGTAGCAATAGAAAAGGAAATGAGTTCTTAAAGCAATAACTTACAAAGCATGATGCTTTATTATAAGAATTTAAAACTTTGCCTGGGCTGGTGCCCATTTTCAGGCGATTTTTCAAACAAAAATAGGTGAATTTGGTAATTCACCTATTTTTGTTTGAAAAATCTTCAAGCGGGCAGGCGGTTGACCTGATGATAAGTAGTTACCGCCGCCCATGGACATCTGAAACACCTGAGTGGTGGTAAAGGCATTGACAACCTTCAAACCAGGTCCGGTTACTTCACTCACTAGAAAACATGAAAGTAGGTACTTCCAATCACCCCGATCTTCTGTTAGTTCGCGGGACTTCCTTAGATGCGCCTGGGCATTCTTGCAACAGAAGTTGCTGTGTGGCCATACCATAGTAGACCTGGAGTTTGAAGAAGTTTCGGTGGTACCTATTGGCCGCATACAACTTGCCAATTCATTGCATTTTAAAGGCACTGCACTGAAGCATTAATAATTTTTTGCATTATTAATTCATATAGTGAAAATGTATCGTGATAGACGAAACCCAAAACAAAGTTTCTTGGCTTGAAACGAAATATATTTGTAAAATCCTATGCAAAGAAAAGTGAGGAATGAGTTTCTTAAAATCATGGTTCACGAGTCAAGAGTCCTGAAACTTTTTTTTTAATTTTATGTGAGAAAGTGGCAAACGAGCTGGCGGTTCACCTGATGTTAGGTCATAACCTCCCTCCATATTTGCAACACCGGTAGGCTTGCAAATGTGTTGCCATCTATAAATAGAGTGGGCCCCGGTTACCTCACTCGCCAGACGAAAGGCACACTGCACGAAGGAGCCTTCTACAGTTAAAAGAAGCAGGGACTTGCAGCAAGAAGTTTACTATTAAAAAGCCTTTGGCATATCAACCACATCATTACCTAATGGAAAACTGCCCACAAATATCGGACTGGATGGAAAAGGCGCATAATAACAAAAACCGAATGGAAGCGATTTGCTGCGGTCAAAATATAATTATGATGAGATAATCAACGTATTAAAATTAGAACAGTTGCATTTTATCATCGTTTTTCAATATATATTCTGACACGAACATAGCAGAAACTCTCGATGATCTGAATTACGGCTTCTAGGTTTCTTTCGCCCTCGGTTTTCACCGATAACTTTAGGTATGCCTTCTGAAATTCCGAACTGTAGAAAATCGTAGGTCAAGCAAATACGGTGGTAGGGCCACGCAGCAGCCTCGGCTGTTGCACGAATGGGCAGGCCCGTCCGGGTAAGTACCACGACCTCACAGAAGACCAGCGTAAAGTGGAAGTATAATACTTTCGCGTTTCGTCTGGTGAGTGAGGTGGCCGGAGCCCAATTTTCAAAAGGTTGTCAACGCATCTGTAACCCTCTGGTGTGGCAGATGTCCATGGGCGACGGTATTCACTTAACATCAGGTGAACCGTCTGCTCGTTTGACAACTTTTCGCATAAAAAAAAAAGCAAATGAATGCAGTAGTGTCATAACGATATTGAAATCAAAATTCACATTGAACTTGCCCGCAGCTCATTGAGCTCCTACAAAAGTTGTCTTAAGACCCCACTATGTCTGGCTTTTTAATGTTTATTTAACTAATTTCTCTAAACGCATGTGAGTTCTGGACCACGAAAGACCACCTCCACCAATATGTACCTACACTCGCGAGTAATCAAAACGACTCAACCTTTATAGGTTGAGATAACCAAAAAACCAGAGAAACATATTGTAGTTATTACAATATGTTTTTTAAAATGTGGTTAATGGTTATTTTATGTATGTATACCTACATTACATTAATGTATTTACTTTAAATACCGTACTTATTTATAAAATGATTAAAAGGTTTATTTAAAACTTCACCTTTAAATAATATCAAAATTATGTTAGATATTCTGTAAAACAATGTTATCAGGATCCAATGTAAGAGAAATTTAGAAAATATTATTTACTATTAATGTGGTAGGGTATTATATAATATTAAATAAATAAAATATTGTATCAATACTCCCCTTAGCTTATATGAAGACAGTCATTGGTCCAGTAAATTTTTAAGAACCTTGAGAGACAGGTACTATCTAACTGTAAAACTGGCTTCAATTCATTAAAGGTCGTTTGCACCTGCTTCATGGCAACCCTTCCCTTCAGCTCGTCTCAAAAGTTCTTGATGGAATTCATGCCTGGACTGTCGCATTTTACTACGTAAAAAGGACATTTGTCACCGGGCATAATCGTGCATTAACACAAAGTTATCGTTATTATGGCCAATAATTCAGTAATCTACCGATCAGCTGAAAGCTGAGCCCCTTACTCGGCCTACTCGTTCACGAAATCGAACGCGGCTTTCCTTCTAAAGATAGTAGCCACCATCATATGTAAGCCACCGCACAATCCAAACTGCACTTCGCAACTCGCTGTAGACCTTGCCTCTTCTGTCACTGTCATGTAGACACATTACACACATCAATGAATAAAACTGGCCTCCATTGATCCTTGTTCCAATTAAGATGCACTTGAGCGAGCTTGCAAATGGCTTATTTACAGTTACGGGTACGTGGCATACCGTTTCAGATTCTAAAGCTTCACGTGTCAGGTCCTGCTTCAAATCAACACCCAACAGGTGTCGATTCCGCAGTGAAGTTGACACGATAAAACAATCGTCTCTCTCAGAAGTGAAGTTGATTAAAGGCACTAGTTTCCCATATTCTGTTTACTCTTGATAATCACACTGACTGTGGGAAGTCCTTGTTAAACAACAGGGCAACAAAGTGAGCGACTCCATTATGCGTTATTTAATTTGAAATAACGCCTAATGAAGTCGCTCATTGTGTCTTCTTGTATGACTGCATTTAGGGAAATGTGTATAAATCGACTGCTTATAAGCACCAGATAAAATTAACCGGTTGCCTAGGTTTTTAGAAAGTGGTATTTGAATATTTAGATTGTTTTTTTGTTAAAAAGCTCATACATGTGACGGTTGTGGGGTGAATTCATTTGGTTACTTGTAGAATGTAATAATCAAGAGTTCCTATAGATCTATAGATGTTCGATATCAACTATCTTACTCTCAGATAATAAAAAAATTTGAAAATCTCACGAGTTGGTGGTAAACGCGTATGTTTGAATAAAAAAATAACCATTTTCGTATCTACTACATGATAGACATGCACATCTAAGACATGATAGATAGGAGCTCCTTAATTTTTTTGTGAAAAATTGTCAAGCGACCGGGCGGTTGACCTGATGTTAAGTGAATACCGCCGCCCAAGGACATCTTTAACGCTTGCAGATGCGTTGACAACCTTTAGAAAATGGCCCCGCTCACCTCAATAACAAAATGAAACGTGAAAGTTTAACTCTTCCAATTCACGCCGGTCTTCTGTGAGGGCGTGGTACTTCGAGGAACCTACCCGTTGGTGCAACAGAAGAAACTGTCAGCCCTGTTACAGTTGTAATATTCAACTGGTAATGTTGAAAAAGCCGGTCCTTGGATGGATTTGTAGGTAGTTGAGCAAAATCGAACATGATAGCAGCCATTTTCTTTAGTCGGAGCCATCACAAAATTAAAGAAGTTATGTTAGCAGGTAGCCAAGCTGCTTTACTGAACATTGCTGAAGGAATCCCTGGCAGACACGCTGAGCGAGCGGAGTATTTAACATTTAACTCTCAATGTAAAATGAATACACACAGTACATTTCTTATTTTCAACGTGATAGTGGCTAAATTAATTTAATGGTAAAATTAAGTTTCTTAAATAAAAGGTTCCATATCACTTACGCCGCAAATTGTATTTGTATTATTACGTTTGTAACAGTCTATATTCTGCGAAATAAATAATGATAAAATATTGAAGTCATTAAAAGTCACAATGAGCTAAAACATCGTGAGTTTCGTCCCCCAGGGCTTAACGTCACTCAACGAAACTCTAAAAACTCTTTGTTTTGCGATTGCTATCCCTATGTAATCGATTACAATGAATGGTTGGCCATTCACAAGACTTCCCATTGTAAATCGTATCCGATCATATGACACAATCGGTGTGTAGTATCTTTAATGAGCGGCATGCAGGCAGTTCATATATACCTAATCTCAACAAACATCCAAATAAAAATAGAACAATTCAAAAAATCATTTTAATATCATTTAGTTCAGATAAAAAGAGAGTACATCATAAATATACTTATCAATTAATTTGCACTAAATATATTATCCTACTAAAACATGAGTGCCCATTGCAAAGTATTGTGCGTGATATTTAGTGCGTGTAATTTAGTTTTGAGCGTTCTCACCTAAGCCCAGGTGTTTTTGTAATCAACCATTGTTTGTCACCAAAAAATTAGCAGAATATTGTTGAAAAGTAAGAAGTGGAACAAGTTGACTTTATATATATTATATGGACTGTGTGTTCCAGCAGGTATGGAAGACTGATAAGTATCCAGAGGTATGTAAGGGCCACAGTGTGTGAGAGATATAATTTCTTTGAATCCTCGATGCATTTCTGGTCCCTGTTTCAATGTGTGAAAGTAAAATTGCTGTCGTACAAATGCGGACTATTAGAAATACGCTTTTAGTGTTACTCAGAATGAAATGTTACGAAAATAAGAAATTGGAAGTTGTGGAAGATGCCCAAGAATAGTGTATATATCAAAATCTGATTGGTGATTTACAAAGAAATTAAAAGTACTCCCCCAATGTAGTGCTTGAATATGAGCGAGGCAAGTGGTTATGCAAGTATAGTGTAAAAAGGAAATATCTGGAAAAGCTTAGATAACGATAGTGAATGGTTATCACAATATAAAACTAACAGAGGTAAAAGGAAACCACGCACATAGCTGAAAAAAATTATATTTTATGAGAAATTATAATTTACAATATTACATACATGCATCCATCTTCAGTCGAAACTTAAGCTAAAATTCTCACAATCTCACGCAAAAGGTAAAGCAACGTTAGACTATAATATAGTTTTAGCAATATTTTTTGTATGTCCGTGGTAAAAAATAAAAGAAACGAGAAAAAAAAACAAAGAAACAGTTAAGAATCACACCGTTACAGGAAAATTCAGTCCATTCGTACGGAAGAAGCGGACGCGCGCGGCGAGATGCGGACGAACGCGCAACATACAAGTGCCCCCCTCCCCCCTCCCCCCATTCCCACCGCTCGTCCAACTTATACACTTTAAAACATTGAAAGGAAAACTATAAGATCAGTCTGTACATTACTATTAGTTAAAAAGGCATTTAAACGTATCCGCTTTGGCAAATAAGGGCGTGTAATAATGGCGCCCGCCACGTGGCCGCCGCGCGCGCCGACACGGCCCGGGGACCGATCAATATTGCTGTACAATTGCACAAAAGAAACACAGTTCGTATGTACAGGGGCATACACAGATTGCACGTTCAATGGGCAACACCACTAGAAATATTCCAATATTGTGCGCTAAGTTTCCAATTCACAATGTCTTGAGCATTCCGGACAGCTGTGTCTCAATTAGGAGCAAACACGTTTTGCTATTGACAGGTGTCGGCCGTTATGGTATGCTTAATTTTACGAAATTGAAACGCTTAAACGGTAAATAGAGAAAAAAATCAAGTCACAACAACGAATAAGTTAATAAGTTATCTCTCTTTAAAATAGAAACTTTGTTTCTTACTATATATATATATATATATATAAAAAAAAAATATAATTAAACAATAACACGAAGCAACACACTAAATTAAGCATAGCATAATAAAAAATCTCTAAAATATAGGAGGACGTGTATATGTATATTTGTGCTTCAGTTACAATGAGGTATGCCAATAGCAAAACTTGGCACTGAGCTGTCGGCTCTATCCACTCAGCACATTTAGACCCAAATGTACAATATATTACATTCCAGTGTTTAAAAGCTTCCGTGCAAAAAACTCCAGTATCGGGTTTCGCAATTCACGTTCCGCTTTATTGGGTTCCTAGTAAAAAAAGTTCATATCAAATGCATCAAAAATGTCCTTACACAACTAACATGTAACGTTCTATATTGTTTTACTGCTATTGAATGTTATTTTCGTACACGGTTAACTTTAGGAGGAAACCAAATACACCCGACAACTGCGTACGCGAAGCCTAATGTTAAACGTAAAGTAAGACGTTTTGCTTGTGAAGTCAATTCGTGTAAAAACACTTTCGTTAAATATAAACAGCTTAAATAATAACATATAACATATATCAATTAACAAAATTCCAATGTACAAAAGTAACGCAATCATTATTATTTAAAAAAAAAATACAATAAATCTTCCAAGCTTACAGAACAGAACAAACGGTTCGTTTTGAATTCGAGCATCAGGGAGACGGCCGAGTCGCGTTGGAGACATTGCCGTGTTGAAATTTCGCGATTTTTTGACGCGAAAAAAAGTTGGTCCTTCGGCGCGGGACTAAAATTGATCTAACTTCGATTATAAATTTACTGTACACCCATTAAAATGAACAAAACGACTTAAGCGTTGCCGGAAATAACGATCAACTAGTGGCACTTTAGATTATGGTCACAAATTGGCCCCTGGGCATTCGACCGTCTCACCAGCGCTGCCATTCCTACCGATCGCCGCTGCCACCAAACATCACATAATTCAAATAAGATAATAAATACGTAATAATAACACGGAAGCATACCGATCGACAACTGTCCCGCCCCGGGTATATCAACGCGGGACGCGCCAAGTTCATTCGGACTAGTTTGTTCAAATCCAACCGTATGGACCGTTATATGTATACTAAGTGTAGAAAGATATTATGGCAACAAACTTTACAAGAACAAAAATAAAAGATCCTAAAAACAATGACTAAAAGCAGCTCACGGTAAGGCCTCGACTCACCGCGAATTTCCGAAAGAAATGCATAATTTAATAATCACCGATACAGACACATACACAAGTTGTGAATAACTCCATCATAAAAAAACATTTCGAAAAACCAGAGCGCGATACGGAGCGATCCCGCCGCGCGCTTGTTTTTGTGTTAAATGACTTACAATCTAGCCTTATTCGCCCCATAAATCGTCTCAAGGTAATTAGGTTTGTCCATCCGATCTCAGTTCGTGAATTTACACATTGTTGTGAAATGATGATGTTTCAATATGTGTTATACACAATCACAGATTTGTGTCAACGGGCCGCGCTGGCGGCGTCGCTTACACGAGGTTGTACTCTTTCAGGTTGGACTGCAGGATCGTGTCCTTAACGGCGGCGAACACGAAACGAATGTTCTCGGTGTCTGAAATTAAAATTAACCAATTATATACAGTTTAAATCCAAATAATATTAAATGAAACTTCTTGTTTTGAAAATCGCCTACAAATTCATTACATCATTTAAACGTGCGTTTATAAACAGAAAAGAATACATAGTATAACATACAATTAAGTAATTTTGGTTACCTGCTGTTTAATAATAAGCATGTTAACAGTTTCATAGATTTAGGCATTCCATAAAAGTTATCCATTTAAATTTACCTGAATATTAAATTTATGTACAGTTCGGAGTAAAAAAAAAAACATAAAAGACTTAAGTATTTCATGGGCATTCTCTGATGAAGCTTAATATAGTTCGATCAACCTAAACCGGAACATTATTAAAGAAAAAAAGAAAGGCCAAGATATTTTTTCTCATATGTTAGTTTATAATAAAATTGCAGCATAGCTAACAGCCTCGTATCATATGATTACTAGAACTAACTTGTTTAGTATATTGTTAACAGTTACATAAATGCGTTAATCCACTTATGTTCCTTCTTCGGATTTATTTAAAAATTGCCGTGATTTAATTTATATTCGAAATAATAAAAAATAATATATATCTCCCAAGCAACGTCGATAAAGATAGATAGAATACAATCATTCATATTAAAGTTACAAATACTCAATATTCGAAATTAGTCAAGCTCAGTGGGTAAGGGGGAGGGGCAGTTATAGTAAACAACATGAGCCACTGTTGGCCTTAGGGGTTCACAGATCCGAGACTTGAATCGAGGCGCCAGCCTGAACCTCGCGACTATTACTTATGGTGACAGCTCGAGGGCTCCCGAAGGAACCTCGGCTCGGGCCGTACTATTAAAATCACCGGTTTGGGAGGCCGCCGCCTAGCTCTTAGGGCGCTTTGGCGGGGGCTCCATGGAGTGATTGGTAGGGTCCCCGAGAGGGGACCTCGGCTTGGGCTGTCACTCAGCACGCGTTTAGCATTCCGATTCGAGGGTGCCCGAGAGGGCCGGACCTCGGCTCGATCGGTAGCTGTTATCTGACTGGGATCACGCTAGACAACTTACAGTGTCAATACTTTAAAATGTTTGCACCGAAATTGTACAGAGCCGAGCAAAAGCAAATTAGTTATAAGTAACTAAATGCTTCCCTTGTATTCCTAAATTCCATAAAATTACGTATTACTACATACTATACATGCACGGATTACTTTTATTTTTGCTTGAGAGTGTGCATTGAATGAGCAGCAGGTACATAATATAACATTCAACGCAATTTGCTATCTATCCATGATAAAACGTGATGTGTTTTCTTGTCACTTGAAATATTCGACCATACATATATTAAATAATGTAATATTTGACTAAAAAATTTTATAGTTGTTGGAAAATAAAATCATCCATCCATCATCATAAATTCATTAAAGCTTGATAATAAAAAAAGTTTAAAGAAATCAAACGATATTGTATTAAAACATCTAATTTTTAGGTAAAATAAAACATGCATGCAACTTTACTAAAATTTTATTGGCAAATTTAACACATATAAAAATTAACATTATGCTAAGTTGAACTCTTTCAAAGCGGACTGCATTATTGTATCCTTTACCGCACAGAACACCAACTTTATATTTTCAGTGTCTTTAAAATGATCCAAAGCAGCATGCAAAAAATAAAAATAAATAGTAGATCTTGTTGCACATGCAAAAATAATAATCAAACTACATCTAATAATATATTGCGGCTAGTACGAGACACATTTCGCGAGCAATTTTAACACCAGATAGCATAAGCATAGCTAAATCGAAAAGCATGCCTACTACTTACTCCAATCACTTAAGCAAAAATAAGTGATCAACCTCGAAATGAGAGATAATAAGCTGTAAACTCGTATACACATTCATTTTGGTGTTCTAAAACTTTTCTCAAAGGAAAGGTCACAAAAATCAGTTTTTCGCTATTACCTCGATTCCCGTAGCTCAAGGATGTTAACATTTAGATATTTTAAAAATTGTAGTGCATAAAATTTGCGACAAATTTGTTAAAAAATAAATTTATACGCCCAATCGTTTTTCAGATAGAGGGCGAAGATCTTCTATAAAGATGTTAAACTGATGTAATATTATCAACAATAATTAATTTCTGTTATTTATTAGTTAATACATATAATTAAGAACATTTTGCATATATCTAATATTTTTATTTAATAATACTTACCTACTTTGTCTAATTATAAACTCATTAGATGAAATACTTATTGCTCATCTTAAATTTATATTAATTTATTTATTTAAAGTAGATTTTAAGTAGAAATAAAACAAGTAAATACATTGTAATTTTATCTTTATTCAGAAGCTATATATTTCTTATAATCTGAACTGAAATGAAGTGGAAATATACGTAAATCTTTCATAATTTAAAGTATTAATTTTCTTCTTTTTCTTCTTTATTGTTGTCATCTTCCGGGCTTGTGAAATTCTGTTCAACTGTCATTATCTTCGTTACCTGAATCGTTGTTTCCAAGCCTTCCAGAATTTCTGCTTCAAATGGACTACTTTGAATCGCTATGTGATGAAACAACATTGAGGCAAGCTTGTCCATTACACTGGCCACAAGCTAAAGTGTATTGCAACCCCAAAGACTACACAATGAGTTTATAATTACACAAAGTAGATAGCATTATTAAAATAAAAACATTAGACATAAATATGCAAAATGTTATTAATTATAACATTTTAACTAATAAATAATATAAATTACTTATTGTTAATAATATTTCATCAATTTAACATCTTTATAGAAGAGAATATTCACTGAGATTCACGGTTGACCATGCATTACAGTTAGTATGGCTGAGTACTGCTGGCTCTCCGCCCTCTATCTCAAAAACGGTTGGGCGTATAAATTTCTTTTTTAACAAATTTATGCACTACAATTTTTAAAATATGTAAATGTTGCATCCCATGAGCTATAGGAACCGAGATATTCAGGAAAAACTGATTTTTGTGACCTTTGGTCTTGAATAACTTACGGCGCAGACACGAAATTTTTTGAGATCTTTGAGACAACTTTTGGAATACCAAAATGAATGTGTATACTTCATTTACAGCTTATTATATCTCATTACGAGATGGAAGCCCTAATATTAGTGGACTAACCATCACCAGTACTATAATGCAAATGAATTTAGAAAAGCGATATGATGAAAATGAAATTTTTCTTTCAACGGTTGGCATTAAACTAACACTGTAGCAAGTAGTTACAGTTTGACCGTTTGGTTTCATTCTTCTAGGATTGGAAAAGATGGTCGAAATTTCATTTCAAAGGTTAGACAGGTATTTTAGGCTTTCGATAGTGTCAACACTATTGAAATCGCGCTAGGACGACAGCATCCATGAACATTTGGATCGTGTTCGACTTTTTTTTTATTTACCATCTAAATGACCTTTTTTCATTTAAAAGGTAAATCACGAAACTCAATGAAGTAATCGTCGAATACTTGAATAATATGAATAATTATCCCGGTGGACTTGGCCCGGTCAAATACACAGAAAAGCTCCAAAAGTCCAGACAAGATTTAGAATTTACGTCACAAGGCAAGAGGAAATGCCATCCTAAGAACACCTGGTTCATAGCAGATCTGAAGACCACCTGTTTGAAGACATGGTCTGACGAAGCGCGATGGCGGAGCATTGTGGATGCGCTCTACTCCTTTTTAGGCGACATTGAACATTAAGGGAACCCAGTAAACTTTGTTACGTGAAAAATATATAAAAGTGACTTTATGTAACTTTATCAAATAAATGTCCAGTAAACTTTCTGTCAACGCGTTTTAAAAATTTCATTCCCACTAAAAACAGGTTTAAAGTAAACAAGACAAGCGCAGAGCATTAAAATAAAGCTTATTTTAAATGTTTTACTTTTGTAGAATCATTCCATTAATAGGCACAAACTGATACATGTATATACTAAAGGTTTTTTTTTTTTCATTTTATTGTGCACAAAATGATAGCATACAAATCACAACCTCTCACTATAAAAATATATACCACACAACCACACAATACAAAATCACCTGTAAAACCGACGCGTCCATGCAACCTAAGATTCTAGAAAATAAAATTAAAAAAGATGGCGCATGTGAATAATTGAACAAGACACATATTTATCATTTACATATCCTTTTCGGATATCCTAGCATTTTGTTTGTCTTAGTTTAATTATCAAATTAATAAAAATCTTACACCAAAACGATCAACTCAAAAGACGAATCGCAGTCATTTTAAAGTTGATAATAAGTTTCCTATTATTAAAAATTTGTACAATATAAAAGCTCAAAGAAGTAAGAATAAATAATATTTTGTAGAGCCATGTTAAATATATTTTGCATTGTAATTTTTATTTACTATTTTGAATAAGTCGAGATCAGTGTTTAAATCCGCCTTAAGACCTATATACGCTGAATATTTTGAATGCGTCATGTATTAATAAATATTATTCTCTTATCATTCTCGCGCAAATGCTCGTAATAATCTTCATATTATAGAAATCATTAATAGACGTATATCCTGTTTCATTTGAAGGGGGTTTGTGGGGTTCAATCATCGTAGAAATAAGTCTCCGAATTAAGTGTATTCCATAGGAGTCTGTTAGTAGTTTAAAGTGAAATCGATTCAAGTTTGCAAGAAATAAGCCTCCAAAATAAGTGTATTCCTTTAGGAGTCTTTTTTTACTCGAAACTGGCCAGTGCTTGGCTGCCTGTTGATGGTTAGTGCGCTGGCTCAGTAAAAGCCTGCGCTCTTGCCTTGAAGATGCCTAGGTTATAATCGGACGGAAAGACGGACAGTTGTTCATTCCTTAGCTGTACTTATGATGAATGACAAAGCGATTCGTTTTTTGTACTTTTGTGTAGAACGTTTTCAGAGCACAAGTCTATTTTTATTAACGAAAAACAAAACCGACTTCAAATATCTCGCACTGTATTCATTTTAATATCATTGATTTTCAGGAGGCTTGATTTTTCAGGCTCCGGAGATACTTCAGTTCCCTGAAGTTTCCCCGGAGCCCAAGATCCAATACCAATGAAATTAATGTGGGACCACATGGGGGCTTAACCAAACCCAATACAAAAATCAATTTTAAAATCGGACGAATTAAGAGCAAGGGTGGTCGTCTCGCCGAACGTCTAGTTATCCGGTGATAGAAAAGGGCGGGAGGTATCAAATCGTGCATCTCCAACGCACACTCTCCAAAATGAAATCCTGTAGAAAACGGAGAGGCTGGCTACTCTGTGGCCTGTGCTTAAGGCTAGTGAGTTTGGTTTTAAGCAAGATACGGACACAAAGATAGCCTTTCCACACACCTCTCCATTTAAGTTCCAGGCAGCCAGATGGCATTTTGCAACCCCAGCCCAGATATGGCAACAGTACTGTACACGGTCAAACTCGAGCTGTCCCGGTGTAAAGTACCATCTCAACTTTGCAAGGAGGCGTAACTACCTTGCAGCTGTTTTTGCTTTAGACTCTATCAATCGCCCAAAATTGAGGTATGAAGATATTTAGACTCCCTTTTCGACTATAACCCAAGGACACAGCCCGGAAAGTAGGAAACAAGGTGAAGGGGCTTCTTTTTGACGAAAAGAGACACCTCTGTGTTTTGGAAGCGTTAAATCTCACAGCATTGTTATAGCCCTCTACCAACGGTAAGACGCTCTACCATGGCCTCTCTTTCGGACTGGATGAGATCTCTACCACATACTCGGTTGATATCTCAGCAACTGTGCTGTCGTCTCCATGAACCCATGAACACCATGAGCAGATTGTTAATATTCAGCAAGAAAATAGTTGCGGAACCCGGTTAGGGGATTAGTCGCCATTGGCTCAGATGAACAGCCTACGAAGACATTCGGAGAGATACTTCATTCAGAGTGACTTTCACTTGGTTGGGTCTTGGTCTTACCCAAGTGTAAGGTATCTCCTAAGATATGCCGTACGCTGGAAGCTTACGGACTAAATTGTTTCTGGAATAGACTACGCATTCGCCAGCTTTCAGGACTTAGGGACTACTCCAGTCTTAAATGAGATGCGAAACAGAATTTTCAGAATAGGAGACAACTCGGGTGCACAAGCCTTCGGAAATAACGCCGGTATACCGTCTGGTCCACTAGCTTTGTTCACATTTAGACTCCTTAAGGCTTTTAAAACCGCGCGATTTTTTATACTAACCTCCGTCATGGTAGTTTCACAGCGAGGAAGTGAAGGTGGTAAAGGTCCTAGGGTCAAGACGTGAATTGTGGGTAAAGAGAGGCAAATAGACTCTAATTTTACGGTTTTGGCAAGAGACCAGAATGCCCTGCTACAAAACGGTTGGGCAGAGCTTCGAGCGGATTTTTTGAATACGGTCGAATCCAGCCCGCCCGCAACGTCTTTTTATAGAACTTTGCGGACCGGTTAAAGGGTTTCTATTTCAAGCTAATGTCAAATCAGGATTGGTACGTAGAATGCGTGCTCTTTTCAGCCCTACATCAGCAAATGGGATGAAATACTCCATTGTACCATATCGTGAAATCGATTCAAGTTCTCAAGAAATAGGGCTCCAAATTAAGTGAATTCCATAGAATTCGGTTAATATGACAAGGTGAAATCGATTCAACCTCCCAAGAAATAAGGCTCCAAATTAAACGTATTGCAAAGGAGTCAGTTGTATCAAGTGAAAGCGATCCGATCTGCCAACAGCGCTGTCCTTTGGACGTTGCCAAGGTGAAAGCGACTGTATGGCGCTGATAAAACAAGACATGAAGTTTTTTTTTAATGGGAAAAGGGGTAAACGAGCAGGAGGCTCACCTGATGCTAAATGATTACCGCCGCCCATGAACATCTGCAACACCCGTGGGCTCACAAGTGCGTTGCCGGCCTTTTAGGAAAGAGTGTGCTCTCTTCCTGAAGGTTCCCAGGTCGTAGCCGTTCGGAAAGACCGCCGGCGGCAGCTGGTGCCACAGATTGGTTGTGCGAGGCAAAAAAATGCCTTCAAAATCGAGTACGATTGACAGTATCCACTCACCTGTCGCGCAGGTGAAGTGCGAGTAGATGATCTTCTCGGCGTCCGGGTTGAGATCGACAAACATCCGCAATATGAACTCGCGCGCGGTGCTAGCGTCGCGCTGGGGACCTGCGCGTCATAGTCACACTAGCTGTACTAATGCACTAAGTACGTGCGAACGTTTGCCCCGTTGGTTCGTAATAGTTTATCGGATACTAGCGGCCCGCCCCGGCTCCGCGCGGGTGCGATGTGTTACATATAAACCTTCCTCTTGCATCACTCTATTTAATGAAAAAACCCCCGTCAAGATCCGTTGCGTAGTTTCAAAGATCTAAGCGTACATAGGAACAGACAGACAGCGGGACGACTTTGTTTTATAATATGTAGTGACGTTTCAATAGCTAGATCACAACCGGCACATTTAAGTGTGAAGGCTGTCCAACGTACGTTAAGTGATCATCACCATCACACACACGCGCGGGTCACGTATAAATATCGGTAAAGGTATGGGAGTATTTCTCATATTACACCAGACGAAATGCAAAACTGCGAATACTTCCAATTTACGTCGGTAACTTGTGGTACTTTCCTGGACAAACCTACCTATTAGAAACAACATAAGGTGTCCTATAAACATTATGACGTAATGAGAGTTCGATTTAACGTTAGACCCACGAAACCGAAAGTATTATATCACGAACCAACGGAGACACGTATCTAGCTTACGTCAGTAGCTCTCATAGAATACAACTAGCCGAAACGCACACAGACTAGCGAGTACATAATTATGAAAGTGAGACAGTGCACGACGCTTATAGTTCCACCTGTCGCCGTGGTGAAATGCGAGTAGCAGGATCGGTCCGGGTCCGGATTTTCCTTCAGATATTTCTGGAGGATGAACTCCCTGGCCGGTATCGGGTCGCATTTCGGACCTGACACAACGATCGTCGGGTGCTTAACGATGTATACACGTAAACACGTAAAGTGTAGCCACAATACATTTGGCGACACAGTATAGGAATAAATCGTCACTAGTGATAACGCTGTCAACCCATTGACCATGTTAGTCACGTGTTGAATGAGATGTTCACATTTACTCGTGTTTCTTGCGCAATGATGCGATTTTGGACAGAATATTTCTTAAAATTTTGGTTTAATTAATAATGCCCAATTTCTTTTCGTAAATGTTTATGAAGCATCATCATCATCATCATTACAGCCTGTTTGAGCTCACTGCTGAACATGGGCCTCCCCCATGGACTGCCACGAAGTATCCTGAGCCACCTGCATCCATAGACTTCCCGCAAATTTGCACAGGTCGTCACTCCATCTAGTGGGGGGGTCGTGAATCTTATTTCACTTTATGTCCAATGCCCTTGGCTTATTTTAAATATCACAATTCTTAAGGAAACCGTAATTCCATGCTGCACCATTCATCCATTTCCTGATGTTTTATTTGGTAGACAAGAAGTCGTCGGAAAAACTGTATATTATTAAGAAAGAGACGTTTAAAACACGTAGTCTGTGAAGCGTATTGTGCCCTAACATCCCTGACTGAGTAATAACCAAAGGACTGCATTTCAATTATAGTCTATATAATTATAAATAGAAAAGATGACAGAATGACATACCGTCGTATTCTGGAAAATAATCGACCAGATGTGAATACATGATCTTCTCCTCTAGCAAGTCCTTTTTGTTCAAGAACAAGATGACCGACGAGTGCTGGAACCATGGGTAGGTGATAATGGTTTTGAACAGCGCCTTCGATTCTTCCATTCGATTCTGAAATTTGAGAATGTTGTATTAGTAGTACTAAACTTTGAGAAGCACAGAAACTGTAGCAGGAGACATCAATTCGGGTGTGATTTAGTTTGTGAGATAAGACCAATATAAATGAAATGATGATTGAGATCTATAAAAAATCACAGTTCAATTCTCATGACTCAATGGAGGAAAGATATGTTCTCATTTCCCTTTATTAAGCACAAAAACGATTATATTGCGTTGGAAACGAACTGTTCTGATCCAAATGTCGTAACACGCACACAACTTAAATAATTCAACACATTTATTTCAAGTTGTTTAAGTCATATGAATTTAATGTAAACTAAAAATGTACACTGCCAAGATTGCAGGTTACAGAGTAAAGTAAACTTACAATGAAAAAGTTTTAGAATACATTTTGTCTAATTTTTGATAAGATATAAATAAATGAATATATTCAATAAAAATGTATTGTTCATTTCCAAATGAATATGTAGAATTCATGAGCCTTGGTTATTATTTTACACTATGTAAAATAAATAAGTCATGTGTTTCAATAAATTAATGTTGATTAATATGTCTATATATAACTCATTATGTTCATGAAAATTTACAAAGATTCTAAAGAAATGTTCATTCATATAAGATACAATATATACTCGCCTCATTTTCAGATTCGAATAAAATTTGATCATATTCACTAAGAGCTACTAAGAATATGATAGATGTGACATTCTCAAAACAATGAATCCACTTCCTTCTCTCGGATCTTTGGCCCCCAACGTCCACCATCCTGTTGGGTATAAATAAAGACGTATTATATCCAATGATGGTACTTCCATTTAAAAATAAATGTATGATTCAAACGGTAGACAAAAGAATTGCACACATTTATGTTATATAAACTGCATCATTATAAGACAAATTTATCTGTTCTAAGTTGTTGGAATATTTTAATTGAATAAAAATAAACAAAACACTGTCATCGTCAAAGTTAAGTAATCAGCTGTAAAATGGCTTTTCAAATATTATTATATCAGAATGATCTTCTTAATGATCAGAATGATCAATTCTAAGAGTTAAACCATCCTTTTGGCAACTCAAATGACATTTGAGAAGCCATTTGACAGATGATTAGTTAACTTCTATGATGATTATCAGTGTATGAAAAATGAAAATGAATGATCTTCTAAATTTTAAAAATTATATATATTACATATATTTGTATCATTTCTACATTAAAAGCCAAGGCAGAAATTTATACAGGGGCAAAGGAAAAAAATGCAAAACACAAAAGAAGCGTATAAAACAGAGTTCAGTAGGCATAAAACTATGCAAAAGCTTTGTTAACAACAGCTCCTAGAGTGCAATCCCTCAGAGAGTCCATCTTGGCCCAGGGAAGTACCACAGCATTACAGAGTATTGTTGCATAGTAACATTAAACATACTTTTGTGTTTCATCTGGTGTGAGGCATAACCAAAAAACCAAAATCTCTGTGGTTGGTAACACACCTGAAACTTATGAGCATCCAACCATAACTTCATGCTCAGTAGTTAATCCTTTGCATTAAAAAAAAAAGATAAAGTTTAGACTTCAAAACTGAATAATTTACAGATCAACAAAGCTGATAAATACTTTACTCATAGCAGTAATAATTGTAACTTTTGCATAGTTTCATTCCCAAAATTAGCATTAACAAAAAAGCCTTTGCAAGTTACCCAAATTTTTATACATCTCAAATTTAACCACAACAATGCATATATTAAGTTTTTTTACAATTTGCAAATTTATCTCAATCATCAAGGTTCAATCTTCTGTTTCATTTATAATTAAATGATTCTGAAGTAATGCCCGGTAATAAGAAAAATAATGTGTAAAAAAGGCAATATGAGGATAAGCAACAAATAAAAAGTAAAGCAAAAACAAGAGCACTACCACTTAGGATCAATTCTAAACTACTTTAATGTTAACTAATACACTTCAAAGGCTTTATTTTTAAACCAAATCATGCATATTTTTATAAAAACGATTTTCTATCATTTTATTTTTCTTAACTGTACATACCAAAACCTGTCTTTTATAGTAAAAACTTTGCTTGTTGTAACGACCATAAACCATTGATCCATGGATGCAAAATGGGGTTAGATTGAAATGGCGGTATGATTGCTTGTGTTATACACATTAAAAATGTTAAGCTTACATAGTTATACTTCTTTGTTTAGCTCCAATCATTTAAAAGTGGAATAACTATCTCTTAATCTGGTTCGCATGATCAAATTTTAGATAATATCGAACAGTTAAGCGTCGATGCGAATGCATTGGAAATCTCTCCGATCAATCGCACTTTTGGTATTGACAATTTCTAGCCGAAGCGGTCTGTTAGTACCGACGTGCTCATACATACCTAACGCATAGGGTCTTTTTATTGGATGGTGACCGATTGTGAGTAACGCAAGTCACGCAAGTCCAGCGATCTACCAAATCATGTGCTGCACTACGCAGTTTCTCAACGCTGTGAACATACCTAAATATGATTCCGTCAAGATCGAAAGGATATTCTAGTATACCAGTTGTGGGCTGACGGGCGCGCAGAATATCCTGCTCGGTCGGCAGATAGTCGTCTTTCTCGATCCTTGCAAGATCGCTTAAATAGCTGGAATTCATTCAAAGCAACTCAAAGCCCAATTTACGCATGCAATATCGAACGAATAGTGGTAACATGTAATATTAAGACAAAAACGAAAGGAAAACATCAAAGGTCAACATTGACACTCGGGCCCGCGGGGATAAACTGCTCACAAGAGCCCTTTAAAGTGGTTATATCTTTACTCGGCTCAATTATTCAATACCGTGGACCTTTACGGGCCGTTTATCGACGCGGGCCGCATTAAAAAAAAAGTCAAGGAACACGCGACCCAATGGTAACCAAATAACCCGTAAACAAATAACATGCAAGTCGAAGCGAAGCACTCGCCGTCTAAACGCACATGCAAACGCGGTGGATTCCATTACCTAAATCGAATCTCTTCCAGGTCAAACGGGTACTCAATGATACCAGTTGTAGGTACTCTCACGCGTAGGATATCTTGTTCGGTAGGTAAGTAATTTGGTGCCGCGACGCGGTCAATCTCCTGCAAGTAGCTAGAGAAAATTCTCCTTTTTTACATCTCCCGTCAAATTTCCATATCAATACAAGTCTATGTAGAGTTTACTACGAATTCAAATGCCACAGTTGACACAGGCACTGCATTACAGTATATAAACACGGGGACTGTATAGCACATAATTTTAGCACTATTGTTTCTCCAAATGATACATCGCCGGCCAAAACGCCTAATCAACACATTTTTATAATAGTCAATATAGGGTTTACCACAGTTGGCACGGGGATTGTATAGTACATAATTTTATTACAACTTTTTCGCCAAACGATAGTTAATTTATTCACCTCATAGGTAGTTTTAATGTAGTTCAAATTTAGATGAATATGTTCTTGGATTCAAAATCCGAGACGGTAATCCAGACATCAGCCAGGGGATTTTATATCATTCCAAACAAAAGTAGATTTTTACGACGCCCATGTGCTGTGATCGAGTGGTAGCATACCAAAGTCGTCTTTACGATTTAACATTTTAAGGAGTAGAGAAAATACTTTGGAGTTATGAAGTATTATTAATGTGTAAAATGCAAATTCCATAATAGTAATACTCTTTGGGTTATCGAAGGAGAGTAATTCAGAGTCAGCAACTTGAATCGGTTGGCGGAGTGGAGGAATATAAGGTATGATATATTATTATTCTTACTATTTGGCTGAGTCAGTCAGTTGGTATTCTCGCCTGCGATCGTAGCACTCCTGAATTCCCGAATCGGCCCATAGGGCCTTTATAGCCTCCACGTAAGGGCTCTCGAAAGTTGTCACACTCTCAAAGTCGATTGATGATATCAACTCCGCCTTTTCCTGAAATTGCATTTGATCATTATGGTAATGGGCATTAGGTCCCAAATGCATTCAAAGTTCGAAATTCATACATCATAAGACGCGATTAAAGCGATCAAAGTAACCAAACAGAAATCACAATGAGTGAGGACAGCCTCTCGATAATAATATAAATATTCTTTTTAATATTATTTAATTAATCCTCATCATATAAATTGTAAAAAACTAATAAATTATCATCCCTTAATTTTATATATAAAAATGGATTGCTGTTCGTTAGTCTCGCTAAAACTCAAAAACGGCTGGACCGATTTGGCTAATTTTGGTTTTGAAATATTTGTGACAATCCAGGGAAGGTTTAAACGATGAGAAATTATGGAAAAATTGCATGGAAAAATGAAATAGCAACGATTTTATTTTCCTATACAAACTGTACCTGTGAACTATGTCTGTGTAACCTGTCAAACACTTCATGCATGCGTTCCGATTCCTCTAGAAATAATTTATATGGCAAAACAATGTTTGCCAGGTCAGCTAGTATTAAATAAAATATAACGAATAGTATAAAATATAGTTTCAACTTTTTGAAAAATAAAATAATAAATTTAAATTACTGATTCTAAATATTTCTAAAATATGTACTTTGTAGGTTTCTTCAAAAATATTTATTATTCGGCTCGTAATTTATTTTACATTATAAATTACTTACATGTAATATATTTAATGTGGTGAAACAAACGGTATAATATTGTGATATACTTCCTCCGTAGATAATGGATTGAGGAAGTTTCGGACGATTTATTGCATTTTGTATTTGTTTTGTATAATATGATTAGCTTAATTTGTAACAAATTGTTACATTGGTAAGAGGATGTTTTAAGTTAAAGATATTCTTAGAATTTGGGCGGTAAGTATTTGAAAATCAAAATTTCAAGTGATGTAAGGTGTATTTATAAATCACAACAATAAATACAACAAATAAATAAATATAAAATAAAAGTAGTTAAAACTTTTTTGGTAAAAAAGTAACAGCTTGATAAATACCAAATCGACGCATTACTACAACAGAGTAACATAGTTTTTAGTACTAAACTAGCCCCCATTTCACTGACATCATCATAGAAGTTAACTAATCAGCTGTCAAATGGCTTTTCAAATGTTATTTAAGTTGCCAAAAGGATGGCTAAACTCTCTGAATTGATCATAATGATCTTCTTAATGACCAGAATGATTAGTTAACTTCTATGATGATCAGTGTTTCGGAAACCGGGCGTAAGTCATGTAATTATTGGAACATGCATTATGCTTAATAACAAAAAGTTAACTTACTACGTTGGACGGATTCCCGTATTGTATTTTGAGGAGATCCATTGCGCGTATCATACTCTGCATGGCCATGAAGATGTTCTGATAGACGAGCTTGATGAAACCACGTTTATCATCATCGCTATAACCAGAGCCGTGAATAATTCTCATCTGCTTGATGAATGTTGATTTGCCCGACTCGCCAGTGCCTGCCGCAGAAACTTTCAAGTTACATTCATAAAATCTAAATTAAAAAAAGACCTCACACATGTAAACGTAAAGTACCATGTGTACAATTAATTCTAGTGATACCATATATTTTAACATAAAAAATTTAATCTTACAATATCCAATAAACCCATAAATTTTCTTAATTTCATAAAGAAGTTACAAATGAAAACATAACAACATTTTCCTTATTACATAACATTATAATAGTTATAAATTGCAAAGAACTGTGCATAACATGATTTGTGAATACTATTATTAGAGTCTATTTAAGTTTTTTGATTGAAATTTCCAATTCTTTTCATTATTCAACAATGAACAATGAATTTTAAATTTATTATTTTCTATTGAACACAAAGTTAATTGATCTTTGTAAAAAGTAATATTTATCTTTACTTCTCACAGGACTACTATAAGAATGGCCATAGCAGGAACATTTTAAATTCTATGGATGTAATAAGATTACTGAAAGTTTTAAATCAGTTGCACCCTATATAGATCAATTTTGTAATAAATTGTAAAAAAAATATATATTATTATATCTTTAAATGGCTAAATAATGTGTGTTCTATGATATAAAATAATAGGAATAATTCTAGTTGTCCTTAACTCTGACCTTCCTACACTAGGTAAAAGCAGTTAGTTGGCTTATAACTCGTAGACCACTAATAGGATTGCATTGAACCTTTAAACAATTCATTGCTAGTAAATAAACCTTGGTAATGGAAAACCAACATAATGCTATTAACATTTTGTAAAAGTTATAGTTCTTTTTTCTATGTATGTACCTACAACGGCGCCAATAAATGAACACACCTCTAACGCTACTTGACAATAATCATAAAAAAATATTAACGTTAAAAAAAACATAATTAAAAAAAAATTTTTGAAACAAACTAATTAAATAAAAAATAAACAAAATTTGTAACATCCTATACAATTACAACTGACTGATTCATACATTCAGAGACTTACTCATTCGTTTCCACAGTGTCACAACATTACAAGCCTCTCCTACTAACAATATGTTTTGTCTCTTTTAAATTCATTCAACCCACTCATATTATTTGTGACCTTTACAAATGAACTTTATGTTACAGTTTTATATGTAAGGGTGTTCTAAAATTATTTGTTTTGGAAAATTTAATAACTCGATAAATATTGATGTTTAAACAATGTAAATGCTTAATACAATTTTAAAAAGATATCCTCTATATGTGTCTTCATTTATTGTAGCGATTATTAAGACACACTGTATAGACCAATGGATTGTACTGTATCTCTAAAAATTTAAAAAACTTCAATTAATACTGAAAGCATCTCAGACCACCAATAATGAAATAATCCACATTCTAAGGTTAATATAAAAGTTAAACAATTTCAAATTTCTGCCTTATTGAAACAAAGTTATAGTCATAATACAATTTATAAGAAATAAAGTTAATTTTTTAAACATATGTTAACTCTAATGAAATAAAAATAGTATATAAAAATAAAAATAGCAATGGTTGCTTTAGATAAATGAAGCAATTATACCCATGTATTGGATTCTCAGATTAACATTAGCTATTACATATATATTAGTAGGTGTACAAAGCACTGCTTGCAAAAACATGGTCATGAATCATAGCCTGAATATAGAAATATTATACTAATAAGTGTCTATAAAATATGAACCTGCCATAATAATAAAATCTTGAAATGGTGATCAGTAATTTTAATGTTAACTTTGGTAAGAATTTGATTGTTCTTTTTAATGTATTTTAATATGTGGTATCTCAATTTTCCTACGTATTATAAAGACTTGTGTCGTATTTTTATCAAAAATCTAATAATACAGAAATGCATTTTTATTTATCTTCCACTCACCAAGCAAAAGCAATTTGAGTTCTCTCCTGGCATCGCGTTTGTCCTTTCGGAGTTGCCGCTCTATTTCCTGATTGATTCTTTTCTGTTCTTTGGCTTCTTCTGATATGCAGCAGTCCATGTTTCCTCAGAGCGGAGGGCCGCGGACCGTCCTCGTGCGCGGAGCCCTGTCCTTTCGGCAGGCCTTTCAACCGAGGCACACCACTCCTAAAAATTACGTATTATTACACTCACAAAATCACGATTTAACAATCATAGGTCGAATACACAATCGCTCACAATATCACGTACCAACACTGAGGCGCACGAACAATCATCCGAACTAGAACTTAATAAATACTAAAACCGACAATCCGGTCACTGGGTGTGGTGACTTATGATCGGTCATATACATATACGCTTCTGTCAACTGCCGACATAAACACTTCGAAATCCGTTTATATACGAGCGTGGAACCTTGTGAGGCGATCGTATAATCTTATTAATGTAACTAGATTCAAGAAACCTATGGCTACTCCCCGCACGTGTGTAATAATATGATTAAAACTGTGAGCAAACAGCGGATCGACGATACCTAGGTAATCTACTGATAACTAAAACGGCCTATGTCTAGGTTACGATGATACTTCTCAAGGCACTCTTCTAAGGAAAAGACACAAATTAGACACATTTTTATACACATTACGTACCCGAATATATATCCATAGGGCACGATCAAGTATTCCACTTCAAATTATTGCACTAACCACGATTTTAATCACTCAAGTCATACAACGTCCGCCTCTCTCAATATGGCGCTGGGAGATTTTGGGCGATGGGAGTTCTGCGCGTGCGTCGTACGTGTATAAGCGAATAAAAAAATGTGTATGAAAATTCGATCAGAGTAAGTTAATTGCTAATAAATATATTAATAAAACATATACTTATACATAAGATAATTAATCAAATATGAAAATTCTAATTATAATTTCCATTTCATGATCATCAACTTAAAATTATTAATAGTATAAATATGACAGCCAATACTGTCAAAGTATGTAGGTATGTCAACGATAATATCGTTCAATTTCGATCAATTCTTCAACTAAACTCCCGTCATATCAATTAATTTCATTCAGTTCTGAACGGATAAAAAATATTTATTCCCTAATTTTATAACAGTTTCATATTCATTATTTATATTAATGTTACAAATTATTATATATATGTAATTTCTATTACAAACTTTGAAATGTAAATAATATAAATGAATGATGATAGCAAAGTAATAGTATTATTAAATTTACGCGTTTGTCGTGGGTACAAAAATACAAAACATTTTTTAATTTAATCATTTACTATCAAAATGTTACTATTATCACAAAGTAGATAATATAACTATTATATAGGTCTTTGCAAATCTCAAAAATGTCATGAAATTCATGAATACAATTTAAGTAATGGCCGTTTTGTTTTTTCTGACATAGAGCAGATTCTGTGTAGGTATATTTAGTCTATGGAGCATAACATATTTTGAATGTAATCTATGAAACATAATATATGAAACATGTAATATAGGAAAATGTCCTTGTTTTTATGAATTTTATAATATAAATTAATTATGTAGGTATATATGCATTATTCTTGATAATTAAAAAAAATCTGTGACACTAATTTTTCATCCCACTTTACTTGTATAAAATCTCTGGAGTTTTACTTATAATAAATTTATTTCTTGAGTAACCATTATTCGTGCTTTTGGATTTCGTAATGTATTTTATATAAAGAGCTGTCAAAAAATATATTTCTGCTATGTCTAGTAAATTTACTGAATTTGTTAATTAATGATCTTCAATCAAGTGGCAATAAAGTTTTAGAAATACGTACCAGGGAAGAAGGTAACATTTACATAACATTCATCACTACACAATGTCGTGTGGATGTCCCAGACATAGGGATTAACCTTGAAAGAAAGTGCTTGTTACTTCATAGTAAATTTTATATCTGCGGCCATGACTTCTACCGTAGTATGCATGTAGTATGGAGAGTAGTGTATCTCAAGGATTAGTATCTCGTATGACTTAATAACTGATAAAGTGTCCACAAAAAATATACAATAAGGTTTCGGTTTTGGTATGACAAAAATGGTGCTTATATTAAAAGGGGAAGATCTAAATGGTCAATTGATAGCGTAGAAATTGTTTTAACCATTTTTAGCACGTAATTTATTACATGTTGAACTTATGTTATAGTAACGCCATCTATAATGTATCACTACATAGCATAAAATATGTATGCTTAGATCTAATTACGGAACGGATCTTGATGCAGTTTTTTTTACTAGATAGAGTGATTTAAGAGGAAGGTTTATATGCCGGGGCGGGTCGCTAGTTCTAATTAAGACTAACAAATAATAATAACCAATTGAAAATATTAAGTATCTAAGCTGAATTAAATTTTTAAGGCTTGTATCCTTAACAATGCTTTTTACATTAACCTTTAGCAGTTTAATTTACTCGTTATTTTTTTCTGACTGCTAAAACTGTTCTTGTATCTTTCTTGAGCATATTTGTCATTCTGTTATGGGCTTAATCTGGTTATTTAATTGCTTTATAATTAAATAACCAGAATAAGCTCCAATATATATATTTTTGTGGACTTTAAACTAAAACACATAATGTGTTACTCCCCTACACTTACTCATAAATCCTTATCCTTTTTAAGGCGTAAATTGTAAAAGAGGTTATGAACATAGCTTAGTTTTATTATTTTTTGGAAGAAATTTAAAATTTATATATTATTTACTGAATGTGAGAATTTACGCTTAAAAATGTAAACATTTGTCGCAATCCACTTTTCAGTGCAAGCCTTTAATCTGGGAACTGGTGAGGTCTAAGTTAGCAATCACTAGACAGGCTTATATTTGCCAAACAAAAGGTTATTGTAGACTCGCCTTGTCCGTGTCAAGAGTGAAATGTTTTTTTTACTGGTGGAATACAACTTTATGTCACTATTATGAGTTTAAGGTTTACCAGCAGTTGTTACACTCATATAAATAATATTAACAGTACAGTAATTATTAGAAAGTGTACAAATGTTATAAGGTAAACGCAACATGCATAAATAATATATAAAAAAAAGTAATAATAAAATAATAAAAAGTCTATCTTATTACATTAAAAAACCTTCATCGAACGCAGAACCGGTGGGCTATCCAGAAGCCAAGGGTTTGAGGTTTGAGGTACCCCTCCTGAGTGGGTAGGGCCGCGGATGTACTCATGCGTGCGTTAATTAATGACATATTACCTACGGGCTATCGAGTTTCGATGCGGAGCGTGACCCCGATGGCCGTTGACTGTGCTTGGTTAGTCAGTGGGTGGGGGCGGTCCTGAAACCTGTCCTGAAACGCGAGTGTATCTGGTGTACGCGTTGTGTTGGTTTCGCCGTCTTCGGAGGCGATTACGAACTATGAAGTGTTATTTGGCGGGACCCCCGACGGTGGGCCCGATGTACTTAAATCCCCTTCTTCGACCGGGTCGATGCGGAAGTTACGCAGGCGGTGCTTGTTGACGTTCGCGTTAGTGTCGGGTTGGTAATTTGCTTTTTAATTTACCACATGAGAGTTGGGATGAAGTAAAGCTCTGTCGAAGAACCGTTTGGTGAGATCTTTAAAATGTTCAGGTCTCTGTGCAGGTCGACGTTGCGTTGAAACCACTGTGCACCAGTTGCGCGGCGGATGAAATTATGGTATTAGTTTCTTTAAGTTTCCGTGTGTTTTTCGACGTAAAAAAAATGTAATTAGGTACAGAAAAATCATTAATAAAATACTCACCAAGCAGAATTTGGCGGTCGCTTATAGTTTTCGAAAATAAATTATTTAAAACGTAATTTTCATTAAGAAAGTTCACCATTTTTACCAATTTGACTTCAAAAACTGAATACACAGTACCGCCAACATGAAAAATATAGGAAGTGGGCGAAGATTAATTTTCTTTTAATTTTAAGCGTAACAGATCCGACACAGAGCGATCCGACTCGGATAGGTTAGGTTAGAAGGTTAAGGAGGGAGCTTCGCTCCCGCCTTAGCCTTCGATGTTAGGTTTTTTTTTTATGACCACCCAGAAAACTTTAGTGTAACAGTACTTTTAGTATTTTTAAAGACTTTTTTAATAATGCGAAGGTTATAATTTGGAAAAGTGTGTGAATTCGTAAATTTATACATGTTGTCAAACACAAAATGGCGGATTAATTTAGTGAAAATAACAAGTTTTAAATATATTTTTTTTCTTGAAAACTATAAGCGACCGCCAAATTCTGATTGTTGATTATTTCATTAGTGATTTTCTTAACCGAATAAACGTTTTGTTTGATCGAAAACACCCGGAAACTTAAGGAAATTTTTACCGAAATTATTTTGTATTATTTGCAACTTATACTAGCGAGTAGGTTTTTTTTTGGTAAATCGTGTATTTTTTTCGGCGAAATGTACCGTCATATTCGAATGGTATTTTTCATTCCCTGAAAACAGGGATAAAAGGACATTTTCCCTGAATCCCCCGAATCTACGCACATACTAAATTTCATGAAAATCGCTGGAGCCGTTTCCGAGATTCCGATTATATATAGACGAATGCGGCTCTGTTTCTAATGTCGTTAATATGTGATGAGAACGTCATCCATGAGTCGAAAGGGACTAGTATTTGACTTTATTCTTTTTTATTCGTTATTTGAGCTTTTTCTCCCAGGGGAGTGGTTGGCCATAGAGACATATTTGCCCTAGCTTTCTGCATTGGCGAGGGCCTTTATAAAGACGTGACGGACAAGTACTTCGTATGAAGTGAATCGCTAAACTCTTGTCCTGATATTCTCCATTTACGGAACCAATCGCCGAGGCGGTCGGTGGCGCTTTGGAGACGAGTAGTGAGATGACGGTAAGTCGTCTGTAGCAGCATGAACGAGATCTATATCGGTAGCTGCTTTGATCAAGGTATCCTTGGCCTAGGTATCTTAGGAGTAACGCCGAATCATGATGAGACTTTGAAGTAGCTTTTTCCTCCAAGTTTTGCCATATTTTATAACCCAACGGATTTAAGTCTAGACTGAAGTAGGGACAGTCGTCTTATATGAGGATGGAGTCAATTTCACGTGCGACCCCCAGTCAATTGTTCGTGCCTTTCGCTCTATAAGCTGGCGCAGAGGATTGAACGTGGTATCGGAATGAGTTTCACAAGGTTTGTGAGGACTTTATTTTGATAAACAATTATATTCGATTTTATATTTTTGTGCTCGTTGGTGCAAAGCATTGCTTAAAATGCGGCAAAAATGTAGATAAAATACATCGATTTTTTCGGCGTTGTGGCAATCGGCAGTTTAGCGACCCGCCCTGGTTTCGCACTGGTGCAATGTATTATACATATAAACCTTCATATTGAATCACTCTATCTAGTAAAAAAACCGCATCAAGATCCGTTGCGTATTTTTAAAGATCTAAGCATATATAGGGAAAGACAGACATCGTTATGACTTTATTTTATACTATGTAGTGATGCACAGTAAAGAGACGTTTACATTTCAAGTGACATTTTACCACAGTCACTCACTTGTTTTGCCTTCCCGGAACCCCTCCACTGACACTTAAACTCTATGGTATTAAAGTTCAAATTTACTTTTAAGTATTATTACGAATCTTTTGTATGGGAACATAGAAAAGTGTTGTTTTAAGACTTTTCCTGGCAATTTTAAAAAATTTTCTCTCCGTAAGAACCATCCTCGTACTTCATGGAATATTATAAAAAAGAATTAGCGACATCGGTTCAGCTGTTCTCGAGATTTGTGCTTAGCAACACATTCAGCAATTCATTTTTATATGTATAAATTAATTATATGATGATGGCGTCGGCGTCGGGGGTCGTGGGTTCGATTCCCACACGGGACAATTATTTGTGTGACCCAGTTATTTCGCATCTGGGTGTTTGTCCGCGTGAAATTTATGTTTGTAAAACGTCCTTACAACACAGAATAAGTAAGGGCAACGTTGAAAAAAAATTATCTCTTGACACAACATTTTAACTGAAAAGATTTCATTAAAATAAGTTTTACGAATTTTTATTACGTTTGATTTAAACTTAAATTTCCTTAATCTGTGTAGCGTTAGTAACATCGGGAATTTGAGTCTAATAACTAAGTGTTAATATGAATATTAAACAATAACTATGAATATGGAAGTTGTAACAATTTCCTGTAAGCTGACGCCCTTTTCTATAACGTCTTAAACAGATTTTCACACGAAACTACCACTGGTGTAATTAGATTAACTTAAATATCAATATTCGTTTATTTCATGTTTAAAGTTTCTGTGAAAATTATTCAAAACAAATAAATAAATGAAATGCGTTGCATTCCAGTTACTTATAATACTAGAAAAAATAATATTAGAATACATCATATACTATGATAGGAAATAACAGCTTTAAACTTGATAATAAAATATTAGCTATCATAACAATTGTAGTAGACGAATCATTATTTTTATCTCTATTGTCGTTATGATTCGTGATAGCTCAAAGTCCGGGCGCTCGTTTTTTCAATAAACTCGAGCAACTTGAGTTCATATCCATGTGCCGGCACCAGTGAAATTGTGAAAGTTGCAGTTTTAAGTGCTGACTTATTACGCCCAACTGATATTTTGGTGTCAGTTACGGGTTTTAATCTAACTTTAATTTGTTTAATTGAGTTATAATTATCTCAGTTTTAACTAAAAACGATAAAGAGGCTTTAAAATGAACTTAGCTCCAACTGTGGTTCTAGAATTTTAATGAACGATGCAGCTTTTAGAGTAAGAATAGTGCTAATAAATGGCTTCTTTTTGCCCTTCCCAGCGTAAGAAGACAAAGTTTTAGCTTAAAATTAAATAGTGTAACCCTTAATCCTGTTGAGTCCGCTGTATTCTTGGGAATCACAGTAGATTCAAAGCTCAAATGGAGTCCCCATCTATCATCTCTTGCAAATAGGTTAAGCTCTGCTGTTTTTGCAATTAGGAAGGATAGACAGCTATCCAACATCGACACTGCCAAACTTGTTTACTTCAGTTATTTTCACAGCATCTTGTCGTAGGGCATTTTGTTGTGGGGTAGTGCATCTAATATAAATTCAATATTTATTCTTCAAAAAAGAGCTGTCCGAGCAATCTATAAAATCGGAGCCCGGAATACACTCCGAGATCTTTTTAAAGAGATTAATATACTCACTGTTGCGTCTCAATATATTTATTGTAATATTTTGTATGTTAAACATAATATTATTAATTATCTAAAGAATAGTGACAGACATAAACTAAATACTAGAAATAAGGACAAACTAACTACGCTATTGTTTCGTCTACAAAAAGTAAACAGGTTGTTCATGGGGCAAAGTGTGCGCATGTATAATAAAATCCCACAGTCGATATTAAGTCGGCCACTTGATGAATTTAAACGAAAAATTAAAAGTAAACTTATGGCTAAAGCCTATTATACTATTGCCGAATATCTTGACGACGCCAATGTGTGGGGTTAATACTGTTGATACTCACGTAGACTAAAACAAGACTATTATACCTGTACTATTATATTGTAAAGTGACCTTTTAAAAAAGAGCAACTGTTGAGTGTCTTGCCGGTTTCTTCTCAACAGAAACTGCTTTCCGAACCGGTGGTAATTTACGAACGTGTTAATTTCTTTGTAAAATTTTGACGTTTCATAAGAACGCGCAAGCGTCTATGTGAATAAAGATATGTTATTATTATTGTTATAATCAAAAAAAGTATAGCTAATCTCCCTCAATCATTATATCTATTTGCTACTTTCTAAGCTGTGCTAATTCGAACGTAATTTTCTTATGTGACCGTACTTATACAGGATTTCAAAAACGAGTCATACGCTAAAAATGCAGTTAGTTAATAATGTTCTCGGGGACGGCAAGATCACTTGATTCTATTTTAGATAACTAAATCGCGTCAAAATCGTAAACAACTATTTTTTTGTGACCTAAATTATTGACCAATACGTATACAATCACATTAATAACGAATGAAGTTGTGAATGAAGTTGCTATACCAGTGCTTTTTTCATAAATTTTGCCTGTAAAATCGTGGACCTTTTCGTGATTATAATTAAGTAAGAGAATTCTATAATTCCGCTGCTACAGATACCCTTAACAAGAATTGAATGTTAACCGATATATGAATTGTATACAGGTTGCTGGTGTACCCATTGGAGGTGTTCAATGGTGATGGAAAAAATCCTGCATATTTTCTAAATAGGTACGGCAGTGGCTCTAATCCCCTCTTGTACAGAGGCCTTTGTCAGTACTGGTACATATACAGCGTGTCGTTACCATCGCGACACTAAATGAACACACGTCTAACGCTACTTGCCAATAGTCATAACAAAATATTAACCTTAAAAAATCTATAATTAAAAAAAAATATTTCTCAAACAAACTAATTAAGTAAAAAAGAAACAAAATTTGTAACATCCGATAAAACTACAACTGACTGATTCATACATTCCGAGACTTTTTCATTCGTTGCCACAGCGTCGCATTACAAGCCTCTCCTTCTAACAGTATGTTTTGTCTCTTTTAAATTAATTCAACCCACTCATATGATTTGTGACCTTTACAAATGAACTTTATGTTACACTTTTATATGTAAGGGTCTTACAAAATTGTTTGTTTTGGAAAATTTAATAACTCGGTAAATATTGATGTTTAAACAATGTAAATGCTTAATACAATTTTAAAAAGATATCCTCTATAAGTGTCTTCATTTATTGTAGCGATTGTAAAGACACGCTGTATAGGCTTATTTTCCTTTTTTTCATTGTCGTCGTGTATTTTTCTCGATTTTCCCTAATTCCATTTTGGAGTTGTAACGCGGTAGTACTAGCTGTTGCTACGGGTCATCAATAGAGAACTATTACCAACTTTTGAATACGTTGTACTCGACCAACATGTGAACTTATCAAATAATTAGTTTTATGTAAATTATATTTATCCTGATACATATAAGTACAATATACATATAACCAACACGTGGTAGTTCTAGAAGCAAAATGGGCATTCGTTAAGTTGGTAAATTAAGTTGAAAGTTTGTCATTTTTCATACACTTAAAGATATGCAAGTACCACGGACTCTAGAAGCACTTATGATTTGGCGTTTTTTTGTATGTGTGTTATTTACACCTTTTTAATATATCATAATGACAGGCCATTCTTAGGCTAAAGAAATAAAAAAAAACTTTTATCAAAATTATATATTAATATATACACGACATGTAATATTTTTAAAGCACATTAATTAACTCGTCGACTTATTGTTACTGTTCACATCGACGTTGAGTTCCGCGTTTCTGTATTTATTGACAGTTTCAAGGGTTGTGTTAGTGGGGACCCAACCGCCAAATGCCTTTTCCAACTCTTTGGCGACAGCTATTGTCAAATGGTCGTTATACCGGGCCGACACTATTTGCATTCCGACCGGCATCCCCTTTTCGTTGAAGCCCAACGGGCACGTCGTAACTGGCAACCCCAAGGCGTTGAATACCGAAAGGTAACTGATGTTTAGGAACTTATACAAGAACTTGTAGTGCTCGTGCGCCGCGCTTGGGAACGTCGGGTAGAATAACACCGCGTTCTCCTTCAGAGCTTTCTGGAATAAAAAAAGATATGTTAACTTATTAATTATTGAATCAAACCTAATACCAAAAAGTCAATAAGTCAGTGGCAAATATAATATTTATTCGCAACGTGCAATACGGTAGTGTTGAATACGGAAGAAACCGATTTAGACCACGACCAATAAAGAAAAAAGTGGGTGCGTGTGCGTGCGGGTGCATGTACGCGCGTGAGAAGTTATACCTCTTTGGCATCATTAAAAATAGTTTTTAGTTGCATGCAAATAATTACTTACAATATAATGATAAAAAGACTGGAAAAGGATATAAATAATAAAAATATGAAAGCGCCATCTATATTCTTTGAAGAATATAGATGGCGAATGAGAACTGTAACCGGCGAATGTGATGCTGCCATCTATAAAAAATAAGCGGTTTAGCAGACAGCTTCAAATTGTGTTACAGTGACGCGCCCCATCATAAAATTTCACTCGTATCATTTTTTCATAACGTGTCTAAAGAAGTGTAACCTCAAAAATAAATATCAAAGAGTATTATCGATAGGCTGTGGAACGTTAACGTTCTAATTTTCGGAATATAGTACATTGAAGAAACATCCGCACAGACAGTTTTAATGTTTCAAAACAATTTTTTTCTAGTAACGAGGCGAGGAGTGTTTGAACTGTAAATAATATGGATGAGGAGACATCTGGCCAAGTCAAAGAGAAGACGCTTTATTATAAAATTATACAAAAGCCATTTGCGGACTTTGTGACCGATGAAACCCTATGTGATCCATAAGGCAATGCAAAGACAACGAAGAGCTTGCAAATAAAATTTAACAAAAATTAAAATTCAACATTTAATTGCAAAAGACTCACCTGAAAGTCGACCTTCACCTCTTCGAAAACGTTGATGAGTTTGTTGTAGTAGCAAGACGGTAACGCGTCGAAGAACTTCTTCACAGGACCGTATCCGACGCACGTCATGCTATGCCTTGAGCATCCCAATATTTTCTTAAAAACCTCGGGCCACATCGGCAATAACGAGTCCCGCTTCTTTGGGTCGGTGTAAATGTTACGGATGTGTTTTATATTGAAAAGTACTCTGATGCTGATCTCCCACATGTGGTGCATGTTTTTGATTTTCAGCTGCGAAAGTTATTTTGACATCAATCTCTGTGACCTTACCTGATGTCTTTTGTCACCTTACCTGATGTAAGGTGACAAAAGGCGGCAGGGCCAATTTGCAGCCTGTTACTAGCTGGGTTATTAACGGTTCGGCTCTACCAGACAAGTAGCTCGTAACTTGAAACAGGAACATAGCGCTGCTGTGTCTTTTTCCACCGACTTCCAAAAAGGAGGAGGTCAGAACCTCAGAACACTGTCATTGAACTGGTTTTAAAAATTTTTTTTGCAATGGGTTCAGTTTAGCTCTCATGTGGCCCAATATGATTTTCATTAGTATTGAACCTTGGAGTTCGGAGATAAATCAGGGAATGTACATTCAATAAGATATTTTGAAGTAGATAGCTCAGTGTCCGGGCGCTCGCCTTTAATTCAATATACTCGGCCAACCTGAGTTCGATTCCCGGTGCCGGTGGTAATACATCTACCAAGAAACGATTTCCTGGTTTTAGCTAGTCTAAACCTCGGTATTTCCAACGTGTTACCACGGCCCCGACGCGATGTGGTATGTTCTTTGTAAAATGGTGTATGTTATTTCGTACATACATGATGTTCTCAAGTATGTATAGCGACGGGGGCGTTAAGATTTTTATTTGTTTAAAAATATGCCGAAGGGACTCACGTGGACCCAGTCCATAGACAGCCCGTATCGCTTGCTTTTGCAATACAAATATCGTATCTAAACCGGAACTCCAAAGTAAGACACCATAAGACATACGGTGAAAGTAAGCATTATAAACTAATTTAGCTGTTGCCTCGTTTGTTAGTTGCCCGATCTTGCATATGGCAAAGACGGCAGCGCTGAGCTTTTTAGCTAATTTATCTATATGCGCTCCCCATTGCAACTTGGAGTCAATGCATCCAAGGAATGCTGTTGAATCCTCAAGATCTTGTCATGTTTTTAAACATATTTGGCATATACGCAAAAATTTTATGTATCAGCGATTAATATTAATTCAGATTTAAAGTGACAAAAGTTCACCAGTTCATCCACACGATACCTTATCTTACAAAATAAAAAGTGTACTGAAGAATTGTCTATTGTAACATAAAGCTCGTAGTAGAGTTCGTTCAAAATTTCATAAAACCCATTCAGTCTTGACATCATAAAGAAAAACCTTTTTCATATACAATATCAGCATATGAAATGTGAAATTACCTCTTCAACTTCAACATTGTATGTATAGCGTATGTGATGCTTCGCTTTTTCCATTGCCATTCTGACATCTGAATCGATCGAACTTGCAATACCACTACCGTCGCCTTCCATATAATAGAATTTCATTTTCTTAAAATCGACCTGTGAAAGAAATACCAGTTAAAAAAAATACCGTAATCTTCTATGATACAACCGAAGGATAGAAGAAGTAAATTTTAGAAATAAGCCAGCTCATTTAAGAAAAGAGAAATTGTTTGAATGGTTCCTCAATTTCATAAAAGACATTGACCATCGTTTGGTTACTTCGAAAACCGTCGAAGTAATATTGTGCAACAACAAAGCGACATAGTTTGGCTAGCACAAAAAATAGAAAACGTAATATTTGAAACAAGAATTTCCAGTGAATGTATGATGAATATATTAAATTACATAAGATTACAATTACATTTTAAATTCCAGCGACGTTGATTCTTTTATTTACTTACAGGTGTATCATATGGTATACTATGGGCATCTGGTGCTTGTAGAACTTTTAAAAGTAATGACAGGTCTTCGGCGTAACGAGTTAAAGGGCCGAGAGCGAAATATTCTTCAAAGTCAGGGTCCAAGCTGTCTGGCACATGTCCTGATGGGAATAGAAAATAGTTTTATTATTTTTATCTTTTGAATAATTTACAAAAAGGATATTGTCTAAAGCTTCAGTAAAGAAAATCATTTTAAGGATTTTATCGCACTAAAGTTTTAAATTACCAACGATTCGAACATAAGTGTAACTAAGGTAACAGAACGGATGACTGACTGCTCTATGTAGGATAGTGAGATTTATGAGAACCCGTTGAAAAGGGAAACACAGATGGAAAAAAACAGAATAGAGATCGAAGAACTGCAGTTTGTTATCACAATTGAAGTTCCTCCTGAGTATGATACCCGGGCTGTTGAAATTAAGAAACATCCTTTTTTCTTAATAGCTATGATTAGTTGTTAAAATAAGCTTGCTATTTTGTAATATTTAAATTTTAAGCAAAGTGCACTAACACTGCAAGACCGCTACAAGCTCAAACTCATACTGCCCACCAAGATAAATAATGAAAAAATGATCAAAGTCCAGGATAACTCTAAAGAATTAAAAATAAAATAAACGCGATAAAATCACTATAATACTTTTATTAATAATTTTCATTAACTGTCTCAATCCAAGAAACATTTATGCAGTTCCTGAATCTGCACCCTGTCCGCAGAATGGTGAACATTAAAGGAACATTGATTTATTGTTTTTATGCGTATATTACATTTATATTAATAAAACTATTTTACGGATTTTATGACTAATATTATGATTTCAAGTTCCCATTCCCTTCCAGTCTCTCCCTTGACATTAAAGGAATTTCAACATTTTCCTAAAATGTCCACGAGGAAATCGCTCTGTTAACAAGTTCAGATTACGTCTGAAATTCAAATTCATTCATTCTATGCTGTTAAATATTATAAAAAGGTAAATAATATGTATTAATACAAAACCTAGCTTACAGTAATCTACCTCTACCACCTGTTTGAATATTTAAATTTGTGAAACAAGAAATAACAATAGCTACAAAGTTAGTTATGGCAGAGAAAAATATTTTTTCACACATCATGTCTATCCTACCACATCACATCTAACGGTCGTAGCGTATGAACTGAATTGATTGTTAATAATATAATGTTATACTTTACGACATTATTTATACTTTTTTTTACTTTACTTTACTTTAGACATTTATATTCAATTGTATTTTTGTTATTAATTTATAGTGGTCAGCACGTCTTTAGTTACATATGTATCTAATACTGAAGATACATATATTCGGTAAGAACTAGTATTTTTGATTATAGCACATCGTTGAAAATATGATATATTACTTATTTTTTTCAAAACAATTACCTTCAACGGACAACAGTCTTGGTGATGGTTTGTGTCCAAATATTCCTGTGAACATAGAGGGAAGTCGCAAAGATCCAGCGATATCGGAGCCCAATCCCATAATAGAAGCTCCAGAAGAAATTAGGGCAGCCTAAAACATGTATTTGTTTTGAACAAAAATATATTTATAATAATGTGTAGTGGTAGGGCCACGCAGCAGCCTCGTCTGTTGCACGAATGGGCAGGCCCGTCCGGGTAAGTACCACGACCTCACAGAAGACCAGCGTAAAGTGGAAGTATGACAAATACTTTCGCGTTTCGTCTGGTGAGTGAGGTAGCCGGAGCCCAATTTTCAAAAGGTTGTCAACGCATCTGTTAACCTCGAGTGTGGCAGATGTCCATGGGCGTCGGTATTCACTTAACATCAGGTGAACCGTCTGCTCGTTTGACAACTTTTTGGCATAAAAAAAAAAAAAAAAAAAAAAACAAAGTCGAGTGACGTCATTGAATTTGTTAATTATAAATGGTAAACAATAAACTTACTTCGCCACCCGAAGAACCACCGACAGTGCATTTCAAGTTGTAGGGGTTTTGAGTTAAACCAGTAACCATATTATAGGTCTCCATATTCATGCATAGTTCGGGCGTGTTTGTCACGGCTATGGGAATAGCCCCGGCTTCTTTAGCCATCTTTACGATACAAGCATCTTTCTCTGCAGGGATCCTCTTATCTTTTACGGTACCGGCGTCATTACTCATGCCTGTAACAACGAAAATGCTTGTCGTTGCTATTTATTATATTTCATTTCGTCATATTTTATTAATGTCACATTTCTCACTTCCGATATCGTAAAGAACTATATGTGAAGATTAGAGGATTGAGAAATCTTGTTCAACTCACTGTCCCTCTTTGATCTGTGCGTTAGCTTTTCTGATTATATCGTAAAATATGTATAAAAGGTGCCTGTGTTAATTATTTTCTTTGTTAATTATGGATTGTGTAAAGTTTTCTCTAAGATTATTTTGGGTGTTAGCAATTTTATTTATTTCTAAGAGAAAACATGCATGGTGGCACAAACACTGCATGTGAATAAAAATGTTTCCCTTTAAGGTAAGAAGATCACTTTGACATCTTACATATCATTAATTCTTATTGTTATCATGAATTATTGCATACAAACAACTAGCTTTTGTTGTCATCAGCACCGTCTAAGCCAAGACAATGAATGTTGTGTTTTTTTTTATAAACATTGTGTTGGTTCGAAGAAAATGTCAGTTTTTTACAAGCAGATTTTCGTGATCATGGCGAGAGGCTCATGACGAACTTCTATGAAATTTCTACTTCACATCATCAATCATTGGCAGAAGCTGCTACGCGCCACCACAACAGCAAGAACAGTCAATTTACCTTTAACAGCTATGCTTTCTTTGACCGTAAATGGGATGCCCAGTAGTGGATATTTCTCTGCTAGGCTCTCAATGGACTCTGTTGTAGAAGCCAACATACTGTCGACGTTCTTCGCTTTTTCAATAGCCTGTTCATACCGGGGTTCCACAATTGCGTTCAGATACTGGTTCACTTCTCGGCATCTCTCGACGTAAGCTGACACCAACTGTTCCGATTTCAACTGAAAATTTAAACAGAGTTGACTTTAAAAAATTTTAATTCAATTATTTTTTTTTATTTGGGATAAATAAACAGTGTCACAATAAAGAAGAATAACTTAAAGTAAATATAATAATACAAGTTCAATAATTGTGACCCCAACACCATTTACCACAAATTACTTTCCAGGATTGAGAGATAAACATCAACAAAATGTAAATGTAATTAACATTGTAATTTAACAAATTGGGCAATAATTTTACCTCTTTCTTAATTTCATATCAAACTATGGTGTTGATCTCATACAATTTTTTTATTTTAACTATCGGAAACATTTTTAAGGTATCCATATATGTATTTTATATTACTCTCTTATATTATTACATCTCTTTTAAATTTAGGAGAATTTTATATTAATTCGTATATTTCATGCAAAACAATGAGCTCGAAAAAGGCGAAAAAAACTGGGGTACATGAAATAGATGATATCTAAATGTTTTTGTTGGCTTATTTAGTATTTAATAAATATTTCCAAATCGTCTTAAGCATGAGCACATAATTAAACAGAAAAGGTGTCAGTCCAGTTTTAAGCAAGGGAGATTTTTCTTTTTAATACTGGCTTAGTAAAAAAAGTAAAGTAGCCTATACATGTCTCACTGCTGGACAAAGGCCTCTTCTGTGCAGAGGGTATCACTTCATAGTACACTACGCGGCTCCATCCGGCGGACTGGTGGACTTCACATATCTTCGAAATATTTTTTGTTATTATTTCGAAAATATGCAGCTTTCCTCACGATGTTTTACTTCATCGCTGCACACGCAAATTCAGCTTACGATTAACACCTATAAAACATTTAAAACTTCTGTTTTTTTATTGCTTTATTCACCTGTTTCTTTCGTATCATCGCAGCCAAAGTGGTAGCCGACTTGAAGAGTAGCGGGTTTGTAGGAGGCGGGCAGGTTCCGCCTCGAAATATATTTAAAATACATGTTATTGGTGCCACTATGATTGCCAGACATTTCACCAGGAACCAGATGAACCGTCGCAGGATGTATGGCATCATAGCTGTCTGAAACAGAAAAGCTGTTTATTAAGCGCAACGATAACGAACGTTGATATTTTTATCACTAAGTCCTTTTATTAAAATTTGTAGAAAAAAGCATCTTCTACAAATTTTAATGTTTAATCTTAAGTGCAGATATTAGCACTATAAAAAATTTTAATTTCTAAAAAAACTCAGTCCATTTATCTATATTAATAATTAAAAACAAAAAATGGTAGTATTTAGTTCCGAAACGTTCATATGATTACTTAATGATTATGGAAAATTATGATGCCTAAACACGATTTTGATTGCAAAGAAATTATTTCTTGTCATGAGACATTTATTTTTACATAATATAATATAGAAAAACGTATGTATTTTGATGTATTTTTAAAGAGGTTTATTATTGTTTTAAATTTTGTAAGTGGGAAGAATGATGTAGTAATAATAATATGATGCTGGTATAGGGGAAGAATAATATGATAAATAATCGTATCTGATGTTAATATATCATCTACGTCATCTAATACCTATAAACTATGAGTTTAGTGGGACCGCTTTGTTATTGTGTTTCATTCGTCAACTTTAATCCTCTAAGTCCGATGTGGAAAAATTGATCTTGATGGACTTGTGTTATTTTTCTTACGAAATATATTATTGAGAGTTGTGATTTTATTTTGTTAACAGTATCAAGCACTTACCGGAAAACGAAAATCATACTTATACATCGGATTTTCTAATTTACATTATGTCGTGGCTATAAAATACAAAACATTTAGGGCCGACTCAATAACTTAACCAAATCCTCATTTAAAATTAAGGCGCATTCTTCGCAACATGACTTGTGTACGACCGACCCCTAGGCTTGTCTTTCACGCAATAGCCTCCGAAACCTGCATAAACTTTAGGTAATTTAAAATAAATGCATCCGCTTAGATCTACCTAACACCGTTGGGATCAGCGTAAAGTCGACTCGCATAGCGATTGGAGACACTAAACAATAACCAAACGATTCGTCGAAAAAGCCAATGCAACCCTCTGGTGGTAAGGGTAACGAATTAAGACCGTTACCGACCGATAAACGTCATTCTATACTAAATCATGTGCTAACACACATAACCTATCAGTTCTTCCTGGCCCAACGCGTACCTACACGATGTACATCACACCTTTCCAGGGCGTTCCTCACTGCCCCTAGCCACCGATTAATGATAATCGAAGTTCGATGGCGCGTTTGGGGCATACTCCCGTTTAAGATAACGCATGAGCAAATGTCCCCAACGCGAAGGACTATGACAAGCTCGTGGGTTCTGGCCCACGAGATCTGGCTTAATAATCTACAGAATCAAAGCAAAGCCAAGTTAAAGTTAAAGTTTCATCTGACTTGACCAGAGACCAGAAATCATTAATAGCATTCACGATAAATCAGGGAACCTGTCAGTAATGGTCTAGTGTTGGTATTTCGAATTTACAGTACAATAGGTCCAAATTCAACATTCAAAATGTTGATTGGTAATCTCAGATTATACATACTCTTTTAAGTCGGCGACGATTATAACTCGCAGTTTAGCAATCTTTTCCTTCATAGTGTCTTATGCCAGGGTCGAATGCATAGCGGATTGTGTGGAGTTCGACGTGACTTCATCCTCATCGTCGCTGATCACAGGAAGCTGTTTTCTATTACGAGGGACCTGTGGTAGTGCCGTGCGTCAGCTCGTGTGCATTCTCGTAGTATTCGTCGAGTTACGAGTTTTGCTAGCTGGTAGCGGCTAAGCCATCGTCCATCGGGGTGCAACTGCGCTAAATTATCATCACCATCATTAGTCTCTTTAATTCCACTGCCGGACGGATTAGGACACGGCTACTGACCATTTTACATTATTCCTTCAAAAAAAAAAAATGTGATACTTGCCGACCCAACCCCATGTGAGATTGGGTGAGATTCGGCTCGACAGCTTCCTATACCCAAATGCTTTACGTAATTAATAATGTCCCCTATGACGTTCTTGCAAAACAGGATAGTGTTATCCTACAGTGTGCAAAAAGTTTTTGTGAAATTTCTATTGAGACATCATATTCTATTGAGACATTTAACACAATAATATGAACTTAATCTTATCCTTTAAACGAGCAATTCTTGTATATATATATATATATATATATAATCGTAATCTCGGAAACGGCTCCAGCGATTTTCATGAAATTTAGTATGTGCGTAGATTCGGGGGCGAAAAATCGATCTAGCTAGGTTTCATTTTTAGAAAATGTCCTTTTATCCCTGTTTCAGGGAATGAAAAATATCATTCGAATACGACGGTAAATTTCGCCGCAAAAAAAATGTTATAATAGCTCGGTCGGTAACGGGCGGCCCCGAAACAGAAGGCCGTGGTTCGTGTCACGATCATTTACACTTTTTTTTTTACTTTTTTTTCGATTCCAGATCATTGCTTTCTTTATTTTTAATTTTTTGTCGATTTGTTATTTTGTTATTTTTCCCTTTTTTTTAAAGTTCTTTCTTTTGTGAAAAACATCAGTTCATATTTTCTTATTATTACGTCGGTGAGATCGAAAAATATTACGCATATTTCATTACTCAGTAATTTGTATCTAAATGTAATTTCCAAAACACACGATTTACCAAAAAAAAAAAAAAAAAAAACAAACCGAGCAAAGCTCGGTCCTCCGGGTACTGTAAATTAACACAATAATATGTCGTCCCAAAATTCATTAATAACGTTGTACAAACTTTGTTATTAATTTCTCAATTAATCCATTCGAACTTTTTGTGCTTAAGACAAACAATAGGGTTTCTTTATACAGATTATTTAATTAATTAATTATAAAATGGGTGCAACTTATTAATGTTAATAAATAATAGTACCTTCCTCGCCACTGTTGCAAAGTATATGTTGATGAATTTATATAGTACTCTTTGAAGTTTCACATTCGCCTGGGACAAACATGGCGGGTACCACAAATGCGAGTTGTTTAACAACACTTCGGCGATTACGAACCCGTGGTATATCGCCGAGCTCAAAATCAACAAAACGAAGCGCGTGACAATGTTTGTGCCTGCGTCAAAAAACGACCGAAACACGCCGGAACTCCTCATGATTGTCCGTTTGACTACGCTACGGGCACAAGAATAGCATATCAAACTCGGAAAACAGCCGGGTTCAAACTACGCCGGCGACCGCGCACAATGACTTAATTGCTCGGACATTATGACAAAGAAGTTATTCGTTATCGAGAGTGACGTTGCTGCTCAGTATGCGTCGGGGTACCCGCGCGCTGCCGTCGATGCGGTTGTAAATAAAAGTAGTTTTAACTCAATGGGCTAGAGCTTAAAGTCTCTTGGTGCAAATACGAAAACGTTACAAGTGGAACGAGAAAATGACTGTCCTAACGCTGAGAAAGTATGATATAGACTTTGAGGAACCATTTGTTACGGGCGAAATTAATGTTATAGATAAACATTTACACAATAGCATTGTGGTGGTGGTATTTTGCGACATCTCAGTTTTTTTTTCAGTTTGGCTCCGGTCTTTCGACGCTTTCTGATTGTTATATTCATACCGTTTCAACTTCTCACATACAACAGTGCGAGATCATGTTTATTCTCTATAATGAAACCCATGAATTCTAAGGTAAAGTATAAAATCTACTCGGATTTTTAGTTCTGAAGATGCTTTTAAATCAGCATTCTGTGTTGTGGAATAAAATCCATACACAGCCCAATCCAAATTCATCAAAAAATAATAAAAATCAAGCAATTATTGGATTTTGCCTATAGAACTTATAGTACTAACTTAGTATAACATTAAATTATAGTACTATTTATTACTTGGTACTAACAGAATTTGAAATTTACTTCAGTTTGAAGATTCAGAAGTCGATGTAACGTATGTATGACAGCCGAAATAAAAAAAATATGATAACGTTCATATGGAAGTCACTTCAAGTAAAAACTAGTTTCGAAGAAAAAATATTTGTAAATAATGCATGTTTTTATTTCAAAATAAATTAGTCTGCTCCCTGTGATAACAGATAGAATTCTCTTGAAGAAATTTGTTCAAATGATTATAAATAATCAAGCTAATGAAAACTTTAAAAATGTATATACCTAATGTTTTTATCATGACCACAAGCTGAACTTTAACATTATTATATAATTATGATATAGACGTTACCTACCTATAACAACTTTAAGAGAACTTGTTCTAATACAATTCTTTTTTTATCTATTTTATATTTACGCTATTTATTGTGTTTATTTAGGACTGTAGCAAAATATAAAAGCAATATTGCCATAGATTAGTAGTCAATATTAAGTCTGCCACTTGATGAATTTAAACGAAAAGTTAAAAGTAAACTTATGGCTAAAGCATATTATACTATTGCTGAAGATCTTGACGACGTCAATGTGTGGGGTTAATACTGTTGATACTCACGTAGGCGTAAAACAAGACTATTATACCAGTAACATTATATTGTAAACTGACCTTTTAAAAAAGAGCAACTGTTGAGTTTCTTGCCGGTTTCTTCTCAACAGAAACTGCTTTCCGAACCGGTGGTAACTTACGAACATATTAATTTCCTTGTAAAATTTCGACGTTTCATAAGAACGCGCAAGCGTCTATGTGAATAAAGATATTTTATAATTATATTATTATTATTATTCTATTGGGTATATCTTTTGGATAGAATAGACTTAAGGCCATTCCAGAGGTGAACTTTGATAGGGAGTACAATTTAAATAATCGCCGATAGATTTATATAAAATAAAGTCATAACACGTATTGATCGTGATAAATGTATCAAAAACAATATTGCACAATTCTTGATAAATCTATACTAAAGTCAGGCACATAGAATTTAGCTTCTCATTAATCCACGTTTCACTCAAAGATTATCTTCAGTAAAAGGCTCATTTGGTCACGTTTTACATGATACCGTTTAAATGCATCCGCTTAGATCTACCTAGCAACAACCGCAAAAACTTGATGAATGATTTTTTTATCATAGCTTTATCAGTGAATTCTGTCCGTTATTGTATATACTGATTCGTCCAAATAGATGATGTCCTATTGCCCATTTTTTTGAGGTCACATAATAAAATCAAAATTGATAATATAATAACAGGAGTCAACGTTTATGTTTACAAAAATCGCTGGTTTTAACTAAAATTAAGTCATACTCATTTTCATTTAATATTGCTGAATATTTTTATTATATTCATTCGTAGTGTCCGAACTGTAGAATTGTGTTAAGGTAAAAATTTACAACATTAAGTCTCGATTTCCTAGCTCGAAAAAAATTTTATAGAGAAATGTTAATAATGATATATTATAAAGCGTGTCGTTACCATCGCGACAATAAATGAACACACGTCTAACGCTGCTTGACAATAATCATAAAAAAATATTAACATTAAACAAAATCCATAAGTAAAAAAAAATATTTTTCAAACAAACTAATTAAGTAAAAAAGAAACAAAATTTGTAACATCCTAAACAACTCGCGCCACAGCGTCGCATTACAAGCCTCTCCTTCTAACAGTATGTTTTGTCTCTTTTAAATTCATTCAACCCATTCATATGCTAGGTGACCTTTACAAATGAACTTTATATTACAGTTTTATACGTAAGGTGATCTAAAATTTTTTGTTTTGGAAAATTTAATAACTCTGTAAATATTGATGTTTAAAGATGAATGTAAATGTTTAATACAATTTTAAAAAGTTATCCCCTATATGTGTGTTCATTTATTGTCGCTTTTGTAAAGACACGCTGTATAAGATAAAATCCATGAAAACCATTAGATTTCGAGCAAACAATTTTTTTTAATAATTTTTACATTAATAATTAAAACACAGGTTAAGGAGCATTATCTGTCTATCTAGCTCCTTTCTATCTCTCGATGTCTCTCTCCTTCCCTTTTTATTTCACTCTTACCTTGATGATCACACATAAGAGGTATGTTTTTTATCTTATTACTTTAATTTTTGTTGCAATGTCTTCATGTACATCCTACCCAATAACAATGAAACAAAAACAAATCTTTTGATAAATTTCTGTCTTTGCCTGGAAGAAATTGCTGTGTAGCAGTAAGGGCGCCTTTTGATGAGCAATGATAAATATTTTTTTTAGTTTTGTACTTTTTCCTTTTTTTGTGTACAATAAAGCATATTATTATTATTATGATCATCCCATCAATCGATAGTCCATCATGGAATATGGGCACAATTACTTAAATGCAACGAACTTAACAAATAAAACAAAACGCAAAACGTGTAATGGTTACGAAACACCAATGCTGCGTTTCCCAAGTTCGACCTAAACCTAAGTTGATACTCAAACAGTTGTTACGAAGTGTTTGCACAGAGTGCGGCCATTGCATGAATTCCATTGGCAGGGCTGGCACTTTATAAGCAACAGTATCATATTGATGTCATGTCAGGTAAGTATGCTTATATGGCTGGGGTAGGAAATAAGTCATTTGGTCAAACTTGAAGCTAACCTTGGTCGATCGTGCATCTTTTTAACCCCCGACGTAAAAAGAGGACTGTTTTAAGTTTGACGTGTCTGTATGTGTATCTGTATGTATGTCCGAGGTATCGTAGCTTGTAAATGAATGGGTTGATTATAATGCGGTCGTTTTTTTCTAAGCTTGTGTTTTTTAGTTTCAGGCGTTACTTAAAAATTTCATTATTTGACATACTTTTTCAATACTAAAAAAAGATAGCCCTACCGAGGATTTCTCTGAAAGCGGAATAGAAATTATATTATATCAGTATGAGATTTTTAATATAATTAAACAAACTGATCGAACAGTTGCGTGAAAAGTCATGAGTGTGTAATAAGAGAAAGTCATAGTAAAAGTAAAATTCTCGGTCTTTCTAGGTTTTATTTATTTATTTATTTTATAATTTATGTACAAAGGGTAAACGAATGAAATTTTGTATAGTGGTGTATAGACGCATTGGTCGGTTCATTTGTATTTTTTTTATGCGAAAAGTTGCCAAGCGAGCAGACGGTTCGCCTGATGTTAAGTGAATAGAATAGTGTGGGTTCCAGATGCGCTGACAACTTTTTGAAAATTGGGCTCCGGCCACCGCCCTCACCAGGCGAAAGGCGAAAGTATTATACTTCCACTTTACGCCGTTCATCTGTGAGGTCGTGGTACTTACCCGGAAAAGCGAGGTAGCCCATTCGTGCAACAGGCAAGGCTGCTGCGTGGTTCTACCACCGTAATTGTATTTGCCATGGCTGCTTTTAAATGCATCATCGGAACCTCGTGACAACCATGAACAGCAAATACGCCGGCAAGTCCCGTCCGTTTTGCGCCACTGCCCGCCTTTTTACCGGCTTGGCGCACTTGCCGCGACGAATCGCAAGGCAACCTAGCGACGTCGACATGGCTTTTCGTAACCCGATACCGTTCCTATGTGATTTGCGTTTAATGACTTTGGACGGTGAAAATATAAAGTACGAATGTATATCGTTGCACGGTAACTATCCATTTAACGGATCTGCATGCGCTGAAAGTCGGTTGGCGTGTGTACGATGTAGTTAAACTTTATGTTATTTACGAGATTAATAGCATATAAATACGTAACAAAGAGTTTAAATTGTAGTGAAGAATTTATGAAATTGATCTGTTTTATTGTATACTCGTATTTGAAATGATCGAGCCAATTTATTACAAGAACAGCCAACGACATTTCGGAAATACGTACATTTCTAAAAAGTTCCCTTAAATTAATTCTGAGTATGAAAAATAACGACTTTTTGTCTTCTTTCAGTGATGTGAAGAGATTTCAATATCAATGAATAAGCGCCGTACTTCGTTTTAATAATAGAGACAAGCATATTGATCATTCTGATCAATTCAGAGACTTTAACCAACCTTTTGACAACTTAAATAACATTTGACAGCTGATTAGTTGACTTCTACGATGATCAGTGTCTCAGAAACCAGGCGTTACTATTGCTAGGCTTTCCTCATAGAGCACAGGAAATGTTGACATCAAGTGAACGCGATCAATCGGTCGAAGTTCCTCACTTAGAAAGTGATTTATTTTTGTAATTTCATATTTCGGACTTAATTAAT